AATCAAACACAATTTCACTTTTTTTTCATATTCAAACTAATCTCTTGAAAGACCACCAAATGTAATTTCAGAATCGGTTCGAGAATGATTTTCAAAATAATTTCATTTTCATTTTTGTACTAAAAATAAAATCATTTTAAAAACATTACCAAACGGGCCCTAAAGTTTTCCTTTTCATGTTTTCAGTTTCTTCTTTTTTTCCTTTTCTAAACTCTCATCTCTCACAGGAAAAAACCTTTCTTCTACTCAAGCTCATATATGGGTTTAGTTATATTATATTAATTATTTGCTATATTATTTAAAATACTAAGAGATGTTTTTTAAAATATATAACCAAACACGGTTTCAGTTTTTTCTTATACTGAGAATAATTTCTCAATAAAACTACCAAACACATTTAAGAAACGATTATTGCATGAATCTCAAAACATTCTCAAATCCATTTTCATATCCAAAACAAAATCATTTTGGAACAGGTTTCAAACGCATAGAAACCTCAGTTGGCTAGCTGTCTGCCGCCTCTTCTTCTTCTTCTTCTTCTTATTCTTCTTCTTCTTATTCTTCTTCATACTAAGAGATGTTTTTAAAAATATATAACCAAACACGGTTTCAGTTTTTTCTTATACTGAGAATAATTTCTCAATAAAACTACCAAACATATTTAAGAAACGATTATTGCATGAATCTCAAAACATTCTCAAATCCATTTTCATATCCAAAATAAAATCATTTTGGAACAGGTTTCAAACGCGTAGAAACCTAAGTTGGCTAGCTGTCTGCCGCCTCCTCTTCTTATTCTTCTTCTTCTTAATATTCTTCAATAAAACTACCAAACACATTTAAGAAACGATTATTGCATGAATCTCAAAACATTCTCAAATCCATTTTCATATCCAAAACAAAATCATTTTGGAACAGGTTTCAAACGCGTAGAAACCTCAGTTGGCTAGTTGTCTGCCGCCTCTTCTTCTTCTTCTTCTTCTTCTTCTTCTTCTTCTTCTTCTTCTTCTTCTTCTTCTTCTTCTTCTTCTTCTTCTTCTTCTTCTTCTTCTTCTAATTATTTAAATAAGAGCATATCAAGGGGTAAATTTAAGGCACAATTAGAAAACACAAGATTTAAAATGAACAAAAAAGTAAAAAGATTCTTCTTCTTCTTCTTCTTTCGTTACTAGTTGAAACACGGACAAAAAAAGAAATATTAACAATAAAAAAATATTTAGGCAACCACGTTTTTAAAATTATTTAAATAAGAGCATATTAAGGGGTAAAGTTTAATAAGACACAATTAGAAAATACAAGATTTAAAATGAACAAAAAAGTAAAAAGATCAAATGCACGTTTCAAATTAGCCAAATGTGTTTTAATAAGTCGTAGTTATAAACATAAAATATTTTTTATTAAAGAGATAAATGATCTTCTTCTTCTTCTTCTTCTTCTTCTAATTATTTAAATAAGAGCATATCAAGGGGTAAATTTAAGGCACAATTAGAAAACACAAGATTTAAAATGAACAAAAAAGTAAAAAGATTCTTCTTCTTCTTCTTCTTTCGTTACTAGTTGAAACACGGACAAAAAAAAGAAATATTAACAATAAAAAAATATTTAGGCAGCCACGTTTTTAAAATTATTTAAATAAGAGCATATTAAGGGGTAAAGTTTAATAAGACACAATTAGAAAATACAAGATTTAAAATGAACAAAAAAGTAAAAAGATCAAATGCACGTTTCAAATTAGCCAAATGTGTTTTAATAAGTCGTAGTTATAAACATAAAATATTTTTTATTAAAGAGATAAATGAAACATTTTGTACGTTTCATTCTATGTTTCGTATATACTTATTCAAAAATTTATTCACACTTAATGAATGAAATAAAAAATTTACTGTTAAAATCAATAGATAGACAATAGTGGGAAAAATAAATAAAGAAAAAGCAATAAGTAGGGAAAAAGGAGATGAAAAATATAAAAAAATGTCTAAAAATGAAAAAAGAGAGAAAAATAGAGAATAATGAAAAAAAAAAGAGAGTGGAGGTCAACACGTGACCTCTTTAGAAGTCAATTCTTTTAAGTCTTTTAAGTATGTATAGATAGATTATTAGAAGTTTTTGTCTTTTAGCACTAAATAAATGAAATAGTGAAATTGCACGAGTCTTTTTCTCCTTTCAAAGATGTGTCATAATTATATTTCACAGCTTCATTTTGAGATTGTTATCGTATTAATGCGATGCGCGATTTTGAGTGGCAGTGATGCAAGTAAAAATTGTGTCATCTTTGAGTAAAATTAAATAAGATTATTAATATTTTATTATTATGACCGTCAAATTGAAGCTATAAGTTTGGGCTGCCTAAGCCTGATAGGTGAAATCAGACCTTCTGACCCAAGTGAGAAGACGGTCGACTATACTGACTTGAAATCTTATAAGAAAAATTCAAAAATAAAAAATAAAACAAACTAACCAAATTAGTCCGATCTTAATAAACTTTCATTGAGAAGATTATTAAACTTACTCTCAGAATGCATGAGTATATATAATTATTTGATTAAAAATAATATTAATTAATAATAAAAGGTAAAAATTTAGACTTATATATTTTAATGAGTATTTTTCTTTCCCTTTTTAGATTTGTATCCCGACCCAATTGGCCAGAATTAAAATCGAGCTTCGAAGATGCCTGTTGGGTCTGATATAAGATCTTGTTCATTTTACTGATTTAAATTTTTAATTCTAAATTTTTATAATTAAAAACTTTAAAAAAATATTACATTTCAAGGTCTGATATAAGATCTTGTTTATTTTACTGATTTAAATTTTTAATTTTAAATTTTTATAATTAAAAACTCTAAAAAAATATTATATTTCAACTCGAATCCATTAAACGAATGATGCCTAATTTTACGAACCTACTCGAGATTTTTAAAGTGACAATAAAAATAGGAGGTGTGAATGATGCTATTTTTTTTAATTACAATTATTATTATTTTTTTAAGTACCAGCACTAGTTGAATAGTGATGTGGACGGACGTATTCTTCAGCATGTGCAGCCCAATAGATATTTTCAAGAGAGATGGCTGCGGATAAGTCCTCTCTATCCACACTTATGTTCGAGTTCGACAATACTTGAAGCTAAAATAATGCGGCATGCAACTGGACAAAAACGTCTGAAGTCCCTCTCTCTCTCTTAACAAATAAAATAATTTACTGTTAAAATCAATGGATAGACAATAGTGGGGAAAAATAAAGAAAAAGCAATAGGTAGGGAAAAAAAAAGTGAGATGAAAAATATAAAAAGTGTCTAAAAATGAAAAAAGAGAGAAAAATAGAGAGTAATTAAAAAAAAGAGAGTGGAGACCACGTGAGCTCATTAGAAGCCAATTTCTTAACTCTTTTAAGTATATATAGATAGATTACTAGAAATTTTTGTCTTTTAACACTAAATAAATGAAATAGTGAAATCGCACGAGTCTTTTAAGTATATATATAGACAGATTATTAGAAATTTCACAGCTTTATTTGAGATTGTTATCGTATTAATGCGGTGTGTGATTTTGAGTGGGTAGTGATGCAAGTGAAAATTGTGTCGTCTTTTGAGTAAAATTAAATTAGATTGTTAATATTTTATTATTGTGACCTTGAAATTGGAGCTATAAGTTTGGGTTGCCTAAGCCTAACATGTGAACTATAATGACTTAAAATCTTATAAAGAAAATCTAAAAAAAAAAAAAAAAACTAACCAAATTGGTCGGATCCTAATAGACTTTCAGATTGAGGAATGCATGAGTATGTATTTTTTACTTTTGTTCTTGATTGATATTTTTTTTATTAATATAGTTATTTGATTAAAAATAATATTAATCAATAATAAATGGTAAAAATTTAAACTCATATACTCTAAGGGGTATTTGTCTTTCCCTTTTAGATTTGTATCCTGAACCAACTAGCCCAAAATAAAATCGGGTTTCAAAGATGCATGTTAGGTCTGATCTAAGGTATTGTTCATTTCACTGATTTAAATTTTTAGTTTTAAATTTTTAAAGTTAAACTCTCAGAAAATATCACATCTAATTTTTTTTTGTTATAATTTAAATTTTTTAAAAAATATAACATTTTAACTCAAATTAAAAATTTAAATTCACAAAGTAAACGAGGTCTAAATTTACAAAATGACAATAGGAACGGGAGGTGAATTACGTGATTTTTTTAATTATTATTATTATTTTTTTGAAGGACAAGCACTAATTGAATAGTGTGTGGACGTGTTCTTCAGCATGTGCAGCCCTTTAGTCATTTTCAAGAGAGATGGGATGGCTACATTTAAGTCCTCTGTATCTACACTTAAAGCTAAAATAATGAGGCATGCAACTCGACAAGAACATCTGAAGTCCGTCTCTCTCTTAACAAGTATCAATCAAAATGGCAAAAGTTGATGGACATTACGAACTTATTTTAACAAAACACCGACCAATTTTTGTTCAGTAATAATTATGTGATTTGACACTTGAACTTAGTTTTCCAAGTGAGCTTGGATACATTGGATAGCCCGATCGATCAAGTTGCAATCAAACAATCGCAATTACAATTTTTGTCCACATATTGTGGGGACAATTGCCCCAAGCGCTGAGCCATGAATTTTTCTCGACACTTACAATGTGTTTAGTATGAAAGAAAAATGAAAGGAAAGAAAATGTTAGAAGGATTTTGGGATAAAAATTAGTAAATTAACTTATTTGATAGAAAGAAAATTAGAAATGAAAAGAAAATTGAATGAAAATTTTTATTGGTAGGTCTCATTATATTCAATCTCTTTAAAAGTGGGTGGATTTTATTTTAAGAAGAAAAATATAGATAACTCACAGATGAAGTTAAATTACTAAATTGTCCTCATTTTTCATTCAAAATTGACGGATAAAATTGGCGCTTTTTTTTTTTTTTTGCCAAAAAGAAAAGATAAATAGAGCTCTCTCTCTCCACTCAGCTCACTTTTCATGGACATAAAAACTCCTCATTGTTTGTAAGTTTTATTGTTGAAGATTGAAGGTACGTGGTCTAAATTTATTTTAATTTTAAAATTAGTTTTATGGATGAATCTCTCACTCCCTTGTCATTTCTTGTACATTTTCCTTTGTTCTTTTTTGTAAATTTTATAAGTTAGTTCGTAAGTAATCTGACTTTTTTTTTTTTTTTTACTTGGCTGTAAATAATCTAATTGGGTTAAATTGATTCATGCACTTTTGGAAAGGCATAGATTTTTAATCGTATCTTTGGATGAGTCTTTTGTATTAATATATAATTGCTAACAATTGATTAGTCAAATTCTTGCAAAGGTCAAAAAGGTTTGGGGAAATCATATGGAAATGAAGTTTTTGTAACGATGTTCAACTTTGAATTCTTTTTTCAATTGTATTTATTTAGTATTGTAAATATGGTGTTTTTTTTATTACAATTTAATAGTCTAAAATTTGTTTTTATTTTTGTAATATCAACGTTGTATGTTATTTGAGAAGTTTCAATTTTTTTTAAGGACTAAATTGGTTAAATGATAATTTGGAAAGCTCTAATGGATTCTAATGCTATGGGTTTTTGAATTGAATGTGAATATATTCTATTTACTGCAAAGTTTCTCCTTGTTTTCTTTTTTCCTAAATTGTTGTCATGACGTCTTCATTCTAATTTGGATTTATGGTAATTGCCTATGTTCAATGGGATATGCTGTATTTTATTTAGATTTTCATGATGTTTGTTTTTTTTTTAGATTTTTCTTTTTATTTTTTAACATTATGCTGTTATTCTTTCTATATAATGAATTAGATGTTATTACTGTTATGAGTTTTCCTTAATATGTGAATAGAATTAAATTTGTGTGAATAGTTGGAGAATATATGTGCTGATTAAGAATACTATCGACTCTTTTCAACAAAAAAATTAATTCTCGTATTTATATTTATTTTTAAGATACATTGCATTGGTATCCTATATATAATTTTGATTAGAACCATTTCCAAGTAGATGATAAATTTCGAATGGAGTTTCAAGGAAGGTCAAGAGGATAATGTTTTGGAGTGTAATCAACTAGACATTCATAAAGAAACTAATACAAGACTTTTTAGAAGTTGGGAAAGATGTAGGCGTAGGGTTGGTGTACAAGTTATTTGCTATGTGATACAGATGGTGTATATAATGCAATTACACCATTGCTCATATTTTTATGTAATTTTTTTTTTTGTGTTTAAAATTTATGCTTACATTCTCTGTTATATATAAGCTTTTATACTTTACATGTTATAAGTATTTTTATCATTCTTGGTGTAAATTTATAGGCTAAACCTAATGTAAAGAAATGGAGGCACACTGAGATCCAATATTATGACAAATTAAGTGAGAGTTTTGCAAATGATAGAGCTAATCGTGATGCTGCTGCTAGTGCAAAATAGAAAGTTTGACAATGGCAGAGGGAAACTAACTCCAACCAATCTGTCAGTGTTGAACAGTTTGATGAGGTAAATATTTATACTGTTGAACTATTATCCCCACAGAATAATTCTCAAGTTACAAATGCACCATAGGTGTAAAAAGAAAAGCTTCCATGATTGGTTCATTTGACAAGCATATTGGAATGCTTTACTCTGGCATGAGTAATGCGGTTGATGCAATTAGAGAGGGCAATGCTATTGCTGAAAAAGCACAACCACGTATCTATTCAGAAGAAAAAGTTTATACTGAAGTAATGAACATTGAAGTTCTTGATCATCTTCAATTGGAAGCTTTTCTATTTTTAATCAAAAGTGCATCACAAACACGAGCTTTCTTTGTAGTTTCAAGTCATCGTCGCTATGAGTTGCTCTTGAAGATGATGTACAGCAATGAAAACTGAAATCATATAGTTTAGAAGTTTAGTAGTCACACCAGTGTATAACTCTTTTGGTAAATATATTTACATGGTACTTAGTTGAACACACATGCTTTTTGTTGATATTTGACTACAAGTGAATATTGAGAAATATATATGATCATACAAACTAATACTTTTATGGAAAGTTTTGTAAATTTCGCTTACTTTACAATAGTGGATGCATAGTATGCTAGTCACTTTTTTGTTGTATTTGAACCTTCAGCAAATTATATAGGGGACAACCGTGGGATGCTACAAGACTTCATATACACGGGGACAAGAACTTCAATTAGCATGTTACTGTAACTAGTTGCTATTTTGTTGTATTTAAACCTTAGAAAAATTACTGATGCATTAATTCTATATAAGTTTAACTATATTTTTGTACTTTTATATACGTATGTGTGTGTATGTATATATAATATAGATGGAATATATATATAAGTTACATGAATTTTTTAAGTTAATTTGATGTTGAATATGTATTATTTATATTTTTATTAGAAAAAAATATTAATAAAAATATTTAGGCAAAAAAGTAATTACACAAATAATAATTTGATGTTGAATACTGTATTATTTATATTTTTATTAGAAAAAAATATTAATAAAAATATTTGAGCAAAAAAGTAATTACACCAATAATAATTTGATGTTGAATACTGTATTATTTATATTTTTATTAGAAAAAAATATTAATAAAAATATTTGGGCAAAAAAATAATTACACCAATAATAATTTTTTCATCTCTTTAGTTTCACTTCCAATATCAAATAAGGAAATGTAGATTTATTTTCTTTCTACACTATCATACAAAACAAATAAAAAAAAATTAAAATATTTTCTATCACTCTAATTTTCTACGCATTATAATTTTTCTTTCCCACCCATTTTCTTTTCTTCTTACAAAATAGTGTTAATGAGCATAACTATTGTCTTTACGATAGTTAATGTGTTGGTATGTGTCAGGATGACAATTGACTTGCGACATTAGACACGAGACAAACATGGAGATAAGATTGACACGAAATTGACTTGAATTAACTCAATTTATTAAATTTTTTATTTAAAATACATACAAATATGGATAAATATTTTTGGACAAAAACTTTTTAATAGATTTAATTTGAATACTATGAAAATATAAGATTTGTCGCTTATATTAGTAATATAAAATACAAATATATGGACTAAGTACATAAATTAACACTTAAATTATTAATAAGAAAATTACAAAATTTACCTATAAGAGTGTATGAGTTTAGACTTTTGCCCTTTATTCTTTATAAATACCCTTTTGTTAGTATAATTATTTAACTAAAAAGATTATGAATCAAGAGTAAATGGTAAAAATCCTGACCCATGTACTTTTAAAGAGTATTTGTCAAAATTACTCTTTATTTAAATTAACTACACAATATAAATTAGACTAATATTTTTTACTAAATGGGTGACATGTGGGTCGACTCAAATTCAAGATGAAAATTAATACAAACACGACAAAACTGCCACCCCTTCCTATCCTCCTTAGAGGTGTCAAATGGGCCGGACCATCCATGGACGGCCCGACCCAGCCTGTAACAGTGCCGGGTTCGGCACAGCCCGGTATGGTACTGTTACGGGCCATGTCAGGCCGACACATTTGATGGGCTAGGGCTGGGCTACGGCTTCTCAGCCTGCGGCCCAAGCCCAGTTCGGCCCAAGCCCGAATTCGACATTTGTTCGGCCTGACCCACGCATGATTCGGCCCGCCAGCTTGTGACCGTTGGGCCCGTCGACTGCCAAACCGTCACAAGTTGAGAAATGTACCAAAAATTCATCTATAAATACCCCTAAATCCCACCTTAAATCTCACACAATAATTTACTATCAACTTCTCATCTCACTCTCATTCTATTTCTCATCTTGTCTCTTTGATATTGATTCTAAGCTTTTCTCTCTCGATTACTCATTTTCTTGCTCTTTCATTTACAAAATTAAATCAATTTTCAGAAATTTTGAAATAAAAAGGCATTATACTTATCAATTTTGTTACATAACATTGTATTACTCAAGTTTATTTATATTTTTTTATTATTTATAAATGAACGAATTAAATTAGTTTATGTTTTTTTTTCTTCAAAAAATGGCCGCATTAAATTTCCTTGATTTCACTGCTCTACATGAGCTTGGTGATGAGTCATTTTACGAGGATGAAATTTTGGCCCACAACACCATCCCCACTGAACCGAAAATTACTCTGGTTGATAATGCTTCAGTGCACAACGAGGAAGTTGGGGAACGTAGCAGGGGAAAAAGACCGCGAACTTCTCCCGCATGATAACATTTCACAGGGATCCCCGACCAAATCGAAAAACAGGTAAAATGGAAATTTGTGCGGTATGTAAATATTGTAAAAAATACTTTTTCTAATAAAAAAATGTGGGGGTACTGGTCATCTGGATAAACATTGGAAAGCATGTCTACCGTTGCACTAAGGTGGGAGTGTGGACTCCTGCCAACAAACACTATCACTCACATCACAAGGGTTGCATAATTTTACATATGAAGCACAACGTGCTCGTGAGGCACTAGCTAAATTTTTAGCTAGTGCCAAATTACCTCCTTCTTTTGCAGATGATGCAACGTTTGAAGAATTTATACATACGACCTTTTGTCTGCAATTTAAATAGGTAAGTAGAAATACAGCTTGTTTTGATTGCATGAAAGTGCTTTATGCAATGAGAGAATCTCTAGTTAATAATCTTTTAATGCTACTATATCTTGTACTTCTGATCTATAGGAGGGGTGCAATAAAACTAGATATTTATACATCACGGTGCATTATGTTGACGATGAATGAGTTTTACAAAGAGAATAATAGATTTTCGTTTATGTCCATTTCCTCATAATGCAAATGTTATTTTTGGACAATAATGAAATTTTTTTGGTTTTATGGGATAGAAGATAAAGTTTTAACTATCACTTTTGATAATACGTCAGCTAACACGGCTACAATTAACATGTTTAAACGTAGTTTGAAATCAGCGTTTGGTGGGTGTCACATAATAAATTTAGTAATTGAAGCAATAATTAAATATATTTCTCCTAACCTAACAAATATTAGAGAATCTTTATCCTTCATATCTAGTTATGGAGCTCGGCTCCAAGAATTCCAACAATATCAATATTGCATGAATAGCCATATGCGCCTAAGAAAGTTTCCAACTGATATGAGACATAAGTGGAACTCCTTTTAAATTTAAAAGTTATTGGTCCGATTGTCCTATGTTATATGCATTAGCAACCATTTTAGATCCTAGATGCGGAGTAGATGAGATCGAATCTTTAATGACTGCTACGGCAGAAAATTTAGGTATTTATATGCTACTAACTATTACTGATGCTAGAAAAATGTTAGAAAAATTATTTAATTTGTATGAAGTAAAATACGGAACATGTCAAAAAGAACATGGAACATCGATGTCAACAAGCAGTTCGAGACCAAAAAGCTCATTGTGGAGCTTCTTGAAGAAGAAAGAGAAAACACCAGGATCGTCATCAACATAAGCGTCTACCGAATTGATAAAATATTTTGAATCAAATTTTATAATCGATGACGACAAACTGGACATCTTACAGTGGTGGGGGAGCAAGACTGATCATTTTCCAACACTGTCCGTAATAGCCTGTGACATTCTGACAACTCCAGTGTCAACGGTAGCATCAGAGCAAACATTTAGTGCAAGCAACTGAATTCTTGACGAGTAGAGAAGTAAAATGTATCCGGATTTCTTGGAGGGACTAATGTGCATTAAAGACTGAGAAGATGCCAGAAGACGAAAACAACAATATACATATGATTCAATTCAAGAATATTTTTTTAACTTAGACATAACAAAATTTTCTGGAAGCACTTAGGGTTTGTAATTTACTTATCCTAGAATAGTGTACTCTTTTTTCCTTCAGTAAGGTTTTGTCCCGATTTCCCTACGGATTTTACTTGGCAAGGTTTTTAACGAGTTAGTCATTTATGTATATTTATTTGTATTATCTCAATTCAATAAAATTACATCTTTTGAGGGCATATGATATATTTTCTTTTTTTTAAATTAAATATTACAAAAAAAATTTAAAAGGGTCAGGGTCGGCCCATGAAGGGCCTGAGCTCGGGCCCAACACTAGTCCTTATGGACGAGGGCATGGGCCAGTGCTGAACCTGAGGGTCCTCCCTCAGGCCCAGCCCAGGCCCGTGGCGGGCCTGGGTTGGTACGGCACGTTTGACTTCTCCCTCCCTTTTTAATGTTGAGGGAGGTTAATTATTTATATATATTATATTGAAAAGTGTTAATCTCAAAAGGGCATTTGGTCTAGTGGTATGATTCTTGCTTAGGGTGCGAGAGGTCCCGAGTTCAATTCTCGGAATGCCCCCAAGAGTGAAATTTTCTTTTCCAAAATTTTATTTAAACTACAAGCAAAAATTTGTTTTTTCGCCAAATAAAATACCGCTAGAAGAAAGGCTCGAACCTCCGACGTTGTGGTTTACAGCCATGCGCAACAGCTGAATTATCCCAGCTTCAACAGTTCTTTTCCAGTAAAGCTTATTATGTATTTTTTTTCAAAATATGGGCACGTTTTAAAACCGGTATTTAACACAAAAAAAGATAAAAAATTAAAATTAAAATAAATTTTTAATTTTATATAAAATGAGAGAGAAATAAAAATTATTTTTAATAATTAGTTATTTTTTTTATTTTTTCTTCTCTAGGGAGAAAAAAATATATTAATAAAAATTTTTTATATTAAAATAATTTGTTAATAAAATTATTAAACATATTTTTAAAATTAATTTGTGTCTAAAATTAAAACGTTTTTATTTTTATTTTCACGTAAAAAAATAAAATTATTTTAAAACTATTTTCAATCGTGCCGCCATGAGTTCCTAAAACTCCCAGGTTCCGACGACAGAAGAAAGCGATTCTCGTTGAATTAGAGAAAATTCATTCTCAGGAAATCGGAAAACCCAATCCGACAATGACATCGGAAACGGAAACTGCCGCCTCCGTTTCTTCCCAAGAATCCACCGTCGCCGGCGATTCCTCCTCTCAGACAAGGCAAAGGTAGTTTTTGAGTTTTGATTTTGTTAATCTCCTTCATTTCTTAAACCCTAATTTTCATACACTTCACAAACACAATCTTCAATCAATTCCTTTGGGTCTTCGTTCTTTTTGTCATGTTTCTGTGATTTTAATCACTCTTTTGAATCTTTGATCAATGCCTCTCACTCGATACGTCATAAATATGAGTTTTTTTTTTTTTTTTTTTGTATTTTTGTATTTTTCTAGAAGAAATCCGAGTTCATAAAATACTTGAAACCGATAATTGGCCATTTTTTTGGATGCTCATGTCTTTGAGTTTTGTCTAATTGATGAGTTCTACCCACAAAAAATTTCTGATTTTTAGCAATTTTGGGAGAAAGGGAAGAGAAAAGAATAATGGAAACTCTATTATTTTAACGATTGTTACAGAAAGAAGAGAAAATGGGATCAACCTGCAGAGTCCTTGGTTTCAGCTGGGCTTGCAGTGCCTGGGATTGTCCCAATAGCAGCCATGGGAACTCTTGGAGGAGTTTTAGTTCCTGGTGCAACTCCTGTTTTGATGAACCACCCACTTGCAGTTAGCTCTAGTAATGTTTCCAAGGTGATTCAGGCGCCTTTGTTACAGCAACATGCTGCTGCAATAGTCTCGAAGTTAACCCAAGTGAGATCCCTTTCTGGGTTGTCCTTCAATTTCGATGGCTTTATGATACCTATGTTGATCGAGTTTTTCGATTTTGGAAACAAAATGTTCTCTCTTTTTTTTTTTTTTTTTTTTTTTTTTTTTTTTTTTTTTTTTAACTCTAATTGATATGTGTTGGTTTTTAAATGATTTGTGCTATTCAGCCCAAGATTCAAGATGAATTAATAGCACGGGAAATCGTAATCAATGACGCGGAGTCTTCTGTTCGCTACAAGCTCACAAAACGCCAGACACAAGAGGAGGTGAATCTGCTTATTTCATGTTTTCATTAGTTTATTAACAGTCTTTTGTTTTCGTTTCAGTTATTACTGTTATTATTATTATTTTGATTTTTAAGACATTGTTGGATTCTGGTTCTTTCTTTGCAGATTCAAAGATGCACTGGTGCTGTGGTGATAACAAGGTTTGTTCTTTCTTAAAGGCTTCCTGGAATCAATTAATAATGTTTTTAGCTCATGCGTATGATGCATCTGTTTAATTGCCATTGCAGGGGAAAGTATCGTCCGCCAAACGCACCATCTGATGGTGAGAAGCCATTGTATCTCCATATCTCTGCAGGGGCTCATGTAAGCATTGATCAATTCTTTAGGTAGCATAGATGATATTTAAATGATTTGCTGAGTTTTGGTATAATCGTGTAAGTGGTGGAAGTTTGAATTTTTGTTTTTCAATTGTTGAAAAGATATTTATGAAATGTTTTGACTACGGTTTGCATGCCATTACTGTTGAGATTTTTTTTTCCTTTCTCCCCGCCGTGGAAGTTTTCTTCTTTTGTCTTTGGTCATAGAAGGAATAGCTGAAAATTATGTTCTTGCTTAGATGTATGCGTGGGCACTCTCGCTCCTTGCAACATTTTTTTTTTTTTTTTTTTTTCATGTTCAAGATGCTTATTAATGTAAATATGCAAAGTTTCAATTTCCTTCTCTTTGGTAGTTACAATAAACGGAGGGTTGATTATGGGCTTCCTTTGCAGTTGAAAGACATGGCAGAACGAGTTCTTGCTGTTGATTGTGCTGCTGCCATGGTTGAAGAAATGCTGAAACAGGGTCATAATTTACCAACGGTAGGTCCCACTCTTCACCCATTGCTCAATGTAGTGAAGCTTCAGTATTCTATGATCTATTGATGATCAACACAGCCTTGTCTTTTTATCAGGATACTCATGCACTGAGCACATGTGTTTTTTTGGGTTTTGATGCGGACCCTTCATTGAACATTACATCTCGAATTCGTGGCCCAAATGTGAGTTCCACTCTCCAGTTGTCAGTGTATTAAACTTTTCTTTGATGGTTAAGGAAGTCTCTTCCTTATTCTTTGAACATTTCAGTTCTTTCCCTTCTCTTTATGTACCTTAAATTGGTAACCAAAATAGTTACTCTCTACTTTATAACCTTTTTTCAAGTACAACATATGGTAACAAATTGAGTTGATACAAGGTTAGGCATACTTTTTGAGATATCTGCTTGTATATGTCTGCATCATCTAGTATTTCTGTTTTTTGGACATTTTTATTTTTTTCTTATTCTATTTTTTGAATCATAATGCACGTTATGAAGTTAACGGATTCTAACATTTGAAGCTTTATGTGACATCTCCATACGATTGGGAGAGTTGTTTTTGTGTTGGTGCTGTTTCGCTTTTGTACATGCAGGACCAGTATATAAATCACATTATGAATGAAACAGGAGCTACTGTCATCCTCAGAGGTCATGGCTCAGGAAATACTGAAAGTCCATCTGTTGAAGGTACTTCCTTGCTTCATTCATGCAATATGACACTAGTGTGGTCTGCTATGGATACTATACTATATGGATACTATACTATGCTTTGTATTAATTAGTATAATCTATTATCTTCTGTTATTTCTTGCAGAAGGACAACAACGGCTACATTTGTTCTTGTCGAGCAATAATCCAAAAAGTCTTGAAGATGCTAGGCGTTTGGCTGAGAACCTTTTGGATACAATCAGTGTAGAGTGTGGTGTCTCCAGGTAATAATCTTTACTATAATGTTAGGGTGTAAAATGTTCTGAACATTACTCAGGTCTACGTGCATTCTGCCGATGTAAGGTTTGTGGGATTTGTGCTTCTTTTTTCTTAATGAAAGTTTGTAGTTCCGCATTAGCAGAAACCTCGACCTTATTTTGTATAATTTTTGATGTCTTTCATGGGGTATTTTATTGGTGGGTATCGGAACTTGTTATATTTCACAATAGTATGAAGTATTTGACTATTTGTTCCACCCACTTTGTGGAGCTCTTGCTCTTCTCCATGAGAAGATCCATTGTTTTGATACACAAATATAATTTTATGTTAGTCAGTTTGTTTTTGCTATCGTTTTCTATCCCATATTGGAGATAACTTGTGGCCATTTTCTCACTGTTATAGGGTTTCCTCATCTAAGGTTTATAGTGCTGTTCCACCCCCACAGCAGGTATACGGTGCCGTTCCACCCCCACAGCAGTTGTTGGCTGGAGTTCTGAATTCTAGTAATGTAGATGCGACTACAAGTTCAGCTACTGGATTGACTGCTTCGACCGTGGCTATTACACCAATTCCTCCCATTTCCTCGGTTAGGACTGCTGGAATCTCTACTGTCTTTTCTCAAGGAAATGTATCTCAACCTGGAGGGCTTTTAAACTGTGGACAATCTCAGGTGGACTCGTCGCAACCTCTGTTTCCCGGTGGAACGAGCTATAGTGGATATGGTGGGATATATCCTCAAGCCACGCCTTTGCAACAAGTTGCCCTAGCCCTTAGACAGTCATCTTCTCCCCTCAGTGCTACGGCTGGCCCCGCAACACTAGTCCCAAGCAGGGAACCAAAGTTGAGTGTTAGCTCTAACCATGAGAAGGATAAACGGACTCAGCAAAGGCGGAAGTTTCAGGAGTTACCGATTGGTTCAAAGGGTTCTGCGAAGCCCATTCAGGTATCAATGCATTTTTTCTGCATGTTGGTCTTCAGGTATAGGTGTGGGATGTGTATAACACATTGCAGTATGGAGAAAACTAAAGGAATAGAATAAGAAAGGTTGCACTTGCACTTTGTTCTATATCTATTTCGAAAAGGCTTGCATTGATGATTCAAATCTTCTGCTTTGAGTTTTTGTGGTAGATTGAAATCAATTAGTAAATTTAATATTGGCCAAAAATAGAATTGTGGACCCATATGTCAGGCTCATAAACTGTAAATTTTGTTGTTGCATGCTGCATTGTTTAAATTTAAATTTAAATTTTAGTTTTTAGTTTTACTTCTATATTTTATATTGTCATTGATCTACAATCATACCTTTTGTTCTAACTTGCAGTACTCACTATTCCAGGTATTTTCTCTGACCTTCTATGAAGCTAACTAGCCGATAGTGGACCTCTATTGGGCAATTGGTTTGTATGTTTCACAGGGTATTCACTTCTGGAGGTGCCATGAGGAGGCGCTTACTGAAACCTTTATCAGTGGGCAATTCTAGCTTTCATGCAACTTGGTTTAAATTTTGTAGTTTGCCAATATTCTTAACTAGCTTGCAGATACTGTGTGTTTCCATTGCAATATTACCAGCATTGGCTTTCTTGATGATACAACCTTGCATTTGAGATCCAAACTCCTCGTCTCCTAGACAAGGGTTTTTGTTAGCATTCACTGGTTTTAATATGTGCAAGATGCTGAATAGACATTTTCAGACAATTATAGAGTGTGTTCATTTGCACAACTCAAGTCATGACTTGGGTTGTGTATGTGAGAGGAAAACACTGTAGCAAAAAAAATTGAATTTATGTGAGAGAAAACACTGTAGCAATATCACTTGAGTCGAAATGAACAATGCCATCGTTATTCCAGTGGCATTGACATAGCTATTATTTCAAAAACAGTAGAGAATGTTAAAAGTATGTCAATATATTGAGTTGTTCTTAGAAGATTCACTGCATTGAAATTTGGCTACGTTTCATATACCAGCCTGAATGCTATCAACCTGCATTTCTTAACTCAGTTTGAGATTTTCGAGTGCTACATTTATTCCTATCTGCCTTGGAATGAGATAAATTAGAACTTCATATCCACCTAAAGCGACTCGCATTGCATGTACAATGCTTCATGTCTTTTCCCCCTTTTTGTATCTATCGGTAAATTTATGTGTACTAAAATAAATGTCGAGTATGGCTGTAAATATTAATCCTTCTCCTATTGTTATGTAGTGTATTCAATACTCATGCACATCCGTTATTTAATAATATTGAGATATGCTGGGGTTTCTTCTGCTAACTCACTGTAGGGTTCTGAATTTTTAAAGGCAGTTGAAGTATCAGCAGATCTGGGTGTTAGGAATGTGTCAACTATGCCAGCTCCAAAGAAGTTGGTCTCGGCAACATCTAATGGAATGCTGCCACCCCCATCAATAACCATGCCCCCACCACCTCCACCGCCAAAATTTACGTCATCAACTTCCACTTTGAAAGGGCATGACAAGATCGATATCCCTAACAAAACAAAATCTAATCCTGTCCCGGGTATGTTTTTGAATTTTTGGCCCTGTTTATGGTGCTTGTTTTAGTTGCCTAACATAAGTAGGGGTATAATCTTTAAGAGAACACTGCATGGTTTCACTTTTTGTTTTCAAGTTTTTATCCAAATTTGTCTCATCCCCTTTAATTATTTCAGATACTTTGGTGAAGTTGATGGAATACGGGGATGATGATGATGACTTCGAGGAAAACACCGAAGAACCACTTGGTAGAAATCAAGGCCCCACAGCAGCAGCAGCAGCTCGAAAGCCGTTCTGGGCTTTATGAAATTTCGTTTCTGTATAACTGGCTGATGATGGTATTAACTGGAAGGTTTGCATAAAAAATACATGCAGATTGTAGTCTCTCAGTGGCATGCGGTTTCAGCAAGATTTAAGGGGGTGGCTACTGTAGTGCTGTTTTTCCACTGAAGTTCCAATCATGTTGCTCTTTCCTGTTCAATCTTTACTCTTTTTTTTCTTCTTTTGGCAGGTAATGCCCAATAGTTATACCGTAGGTGTAAATTAGTAGCTCCTTTGTAATTTCCGGTAAGAAAAAAAAATTGTAGTTCCTGGATGACATTATCAATAATTGTATGACTAAATTTTCAACTCTTGTGCGGTTATTGATTCCAATACAGGGCGTTACAGTATGCCTTTTTCGGTTTCCCACCGTTGCGTACGCCTTTTTCCACCCCCATTGTGGTGTTGTTGCCATGCGTTCGAAAGCAAAATTTTTCCGTTATTCCTTCTAGAAGTGTAAATGCGGTGAGCAGTTTATCCCACATGGCGTTGACAAATGGATGCCTATCAGTCTCCTTTATTATTATTATTATTATTATTGACAGTATTGTTATTATTACGTTGGAAATATGACATTTCCCTTGTAATTTCATGACCATGAGTAAGATAGAATTTCAAATTCAAAGTTTGATTTTTTGTTTTTTGTTTTTTCCTTTGGTAGAATTCAATTCAAAGCTCACTGAACCAATAACTGCTCTCCATCATAATTCACTCTTCTTTTTTGGAGAAAATATACTTTACTAATAGGACGTCATTTCACTAAGCAAAATAGGACTCTTTAACAAAACTTCACAAGGACGTGACGGTTTAAAAGTATGCCTTATCATATAGGGTTTTTTTTTTTTTTTTTTTTTTTTTTTTTTTTTAAGGGCTGATAAATATGATGACCGGCCAATAAATTGACTGGCCACTGACAAAATCAGGGAAAAAGTTCATAAGAACCGAAAACTTAAATAGAGGTAAGCAGTTGTAGGTTTTGTAGGCCAAGGCCATACACAATTACACATTACACAATAGGAGTCTATTCAAGCGCATCGTGTGCGGTCCTAATTCCATAGCCACAAACTAGTGGCACACGTTGTAGCTCCAAATTCAGTGTCTCTGCAGCAAATATCTCCCCCACCATTTATGACGTTTCAAACAGAAACGCCCTTTTATGTTGACCCACAATAAATTAAAAAGTCTTGGTGGTCTTGTCAAGTTGGCCAGTTGTTGTATGGTGCACTAGCTCTTATGATATGCCTATTTTTACTCTTTGAAGATGACTAGCCAACAGAACCCTCCACTTGACCGCTTGCTAGAAAACAAAACCCCCCAGCTTGAAAAATCTATTCAATATTCAAATCAGAAAAATGACAATTTGGGTTTTTAATTTCTATAAAGTAATGCACCAATAGATAATATGGGCATTTTTGTAATCTTTCTTTGGTCTACATGCTTGCACATCTATTAGGAAAGACCAAATGGATCCTTCGAACTGAGCCAAGAATTTTGACCTCATTTTGTAAAGTCTGGCTTACGCTGTAAGCAACAAATTAAAGCATGTGGAATTTATGGCCAATTTTCAGTTAGGTGCTCATTTGTTGTGTTGTGTGCCTGGTTGTATTAGGGAATTTCACTAATGATTCTCCATTGTGGCTTGGATTTTCTCATTATAGTTGATATCTAAGCAGATCTCAAATGAAAAACAAAATCAGAGAAGAAAAAAAAAGGCAAGAGTACATAAATTTAGCCAAACCTGTTAAGAGTTTCAAAATAACTTTTTGCTTTATACGCGAGAGCCCGTTTGGTTTATAGATTAGAACTATTTTCGATTTACGTGTATTTTTTATGAGAGAAAATACTGTAGCGAACCACGAATCATGATTCGAATCAGGAAACGAATCCCTTTACCAAACGGATCAATCACAAATAAATAAAATGATGAAAAAACATCTTCAATCATATAACACTATACAGGACACAAACAAGAGCAAGCAGACAAGGACACAAAAAGCTCGACTCTTTTAAGTTACACTATAATCGTGGCAATCACCTTCTACCTGGATTCTGTAATGATTTTGGGGATCCCTCAAACAGATCCAAAAGAAAATTCTCCAAATCATCAGCACTGTACTTGATGCTCTTATCATTTATGTGAGTAGAATGTCTTCCCGCGAATGTCCTGTAAGCTTGGATTACTTGGAGGGATGTTGAGATTCTGAGGTCTTCTCGGAGCTCAATATCCGGAACAATCCATGCTGTTTGAGTTCGGTAAATTTCCTCGAAAGCGAGATAAAAGCTCCTGAACCTCTCCTTGAGACGGATTTTCGAGATTGAATTCAAGCCCGGGTTCTGTATTCCCTCATCCTTGAACAAAGAAAGGATTGAACCCCAAGTGGCTCTTTGGTAGTCCATTGCGTGATGTTGGAATTTCCCGTTGCATTTCTTAATCCATTCACTTCCAAATATAGCGTTTAGTTCAGACCCTTTCACCTTCTGAGCCATGTAATGTATGTTGTTCATCAAGAACAAGTGCTGCAAAGAAATTTCTTTGTACAACTTGCACTTGGCATCAAGGTTGCGTTCCAAAACCACAGCAAGTGATACAAAATATCGAGCCATTGGGGAAACTCTGCTTTTATCTTCCTCTTCTGTAGTTGGACTCGCATCGGGAGACAATAATGCAATGTGATCCCCTTCATCATCATGGTCCTTGAAAAGCAAATTTAGGGTCTCACTATAGTCGGTGAGAGTCCTGATGTAGTTCATGACATACCTGGTTAGTGGATGGATTCCACCTCCTGAAATCGGATTATTCGAGTGGTTAGACAGAATAGCATTCTGGAATTCAATGCAAGTAGCCCTCACACAGTTGCCTAATCTGCTAAAAACCTGGTGACATTCCGCTGTTATGGAAGAACCAGCCTCTCCCATGTACAAGGCTTCTATATCAGGAATAAGATCCCCAAGAACCTCATACATGTCAAGAATTCGGAACAGCTTCTCTGGTTGTTGGGGGCCAATAGACATGGCTTCACTGAAATTCAGAAGCTGCAATATCGAAGTCTTCGACGACTCAATGAAACACACTAGACTGATCGGTCCAAGCTCCCCGAAGATCTGGTCACAAAGCCATTTCTCACTAGCAAGATAAACCCGGACAAAGATCTTCATAGCCCAAATCCACCTCCTGATTTTGGAATTCAAGTTGGTCCACTCCATTCTGAGCACATCGTCAATGCTCAGTTTCTCCATCTCAAGAATGAACAAGCACTCGTCCAACGCATCCTTTCGCAGACTAGTATAAGTCTGGACACATTCCCTATCGTACTTCGAATTGAACATCAAATTTGCAATGCTTCGAAGCTCAGGAAGCACATGGGGATGAACCAAATCAACGAGGAATTCCTCAGAGACTCGGCTGAGACTATCTCTGTTCAGAGGAGACTCAAAAGAATCATCCCCATAAGAGTTTATGGAGCCCTCATCAAGAGTCTCATCCTCGCTCGAACGAAAAGACATGTGTTCGGGCTCAAATGGTTGCCTGTTCTGGACAAGCATGTATCTAAACTCTTCATCAAGCCTATCCATTGCCATCTGAAGAACATCATAAGCCCTCCTTTGCAGCTCACGCTTCTCATCATGACCACCACCATCATCATCACAATCACCCTTACTCAAACACAAACTCTCCAATCTCTCAGTCAATTTCCGAGCTTTATCTGCAGCATTTAGATACTCAAAAGCCTCATCGAGGCCTGCATCCCATATCATGGACTGATCTGATTCCCAACTCATGACCTTCTCTTGCACAGCATCAAGTAGACTCTCAATCTCACAAATCCCCTCATCTTTTCTCTCTTCGGGTATGGCAATAGAAGACAATTGGGTGCCAAGATCAACCAGAATCTTCCTTGCTTCATCTGTAAGATTCTTCTTAGACCCCAATGCCCTTGCTATCGACTTAGCCGCCGCAATTAAATCCTCTTCCCCTTCTAATTCAGGGACTGCAGATTTACAATCTGCCATGACCAAATAAAAAAATATACTTTTTCTTTCTTTGGGTCAAAGACAGGCCAGGCCACTCCTCAAAAACCTTTTACCACTTGAGCTAGAATGATTTTGATAGCTCAACCAAAAGCATTTAATTCCCAGAGACTTGGTGAGCCTCTTGATATCTCAGGCCAACAATTAATGCAATCCTATCCAGTAAAAGAAACCGAAAAGTGAAAATTCATCAAATACCCATCACAGGAAAACTAAAAAATTCTCAGTAAAAAAGGAAAAATTGAAAACCCATCTCAATACAGAAGCAAAATACACAAAAGTTGAATCACCATGAATGACTTGATATAAAAGAAATGAACCAAAAAGGCCGTTCACTTCGCTGATTCGAGTTTAAAATTTGAGTTGAGATGTGATTTTACGTGAGAATTTTTTATTTAGTAATAAAATTAGATGTGATTATTTATGAAAACTTTTTACTATAAAAAAATTTAAATTTTAAACTCAAATCAACGAAATAAACGCCCTAATATAAACGCAAGAGAGCTACCTACCTGAGAAGTCGCAGTACGGGATGCGACGAAAACGGAGTTGGGGAAGATGCAGAAACTCTAAAGAAAGAAAGGACCATGAAAATTTTCAAGCAAGAAATCTACGGGGGATCTTCAAACAGTCAAAAGTGACTGTACGGCCACTTGACTTTTCAAGGGTGGCAGGGAAAAAATCTATCGAGTGAAATTAGTGTACGGATTTGACAAGGGTACCAGCCATTTTGGAGATTATATATCCCCGTTTATTCTTTTTTTGGAAGCTTCTCTTATCTCACCGATAAAAATAAAATATTGATAATTTTTTATTTTTTAACTGTTAAATTTATATTAAAAATTGATAATAAATTTTTAAAATTTTATATCTCATTTATTTTACAGATTTAAATTTTTAATTTAAGTTGAAATGTAATATTTTTTAAAACTTTTTACTGTAGCACAAAAAATTAGATGTGATATTTTCTAAAAGCGTTTTATTGTAAAAATTTAGAATTAAAAACTCAAATCGGTGAAATAAACGAGACCTTAATCTTTTCACAATTTAAATTAAATTTTATTTTTTTATAAAAATTTAAATTTAATTTTTTAATTATAATATTTTTTTCTCATAATAAAAATTTAAATTATAAAAAGACGCAATTAATTCTAGCAGCATAACTCAAAATTTCCTCACTTTCAAAAATTAAAAAAAAAAAAACCTCAGCTTTTGTAGTTGTAGTTCGTACGAAAATATGTACTTTTTCAGTTTTCTAATATATCTTGCATGATTTGTGTCATTTCGTAGCAAGCTCATTTTGTGAAAAGTAGGCATGGTTGCCTGGGTTAATTACTTTCACAGCACTAATTAATTAACAATCTTATAAATAACATTGAAATAGTTATTATAATTTCTACAGTAGTTATTCAACTTATCATAACTGTCAGTAACTTCTATAATTATAAAAAATCTGATGTGACAGTAGAACCAACAATAAAATTGAAACTAGTGTTACATGTGAAATTATTCTTTTATAAGTAGTATAAAAAAATTAACCATTATATATTGCCTGTTTCCGAATTTAACAAAATGACGAGTAGGTAGTCTTCAATTGGTATATTCATGCTCTATTCATTTCACTTATTCGAATTTTATTATAGTAAAATGTTTTCATAAACAATTAAATTTTAACTCTTTTATTATATTAAAAAGTTCTCATATAAAGTTATATCTCAATTCAAATTAAAAATTCGAATCAACGAATTAAGCGGACCCTTATACTCCATTATTTAATCTACGATCTCACTAACATACCTGCGCTGTTGCTGCACATGCATGATTGAACCATGAAAAGGTCTTTGACTCATTCTTTGGATGCATGATTAAAGTGCAAATATCATTTCAACGGTGCGCAATTTTCGTTTTCCATGTGTGTGTCTATATATATATATATATATGCATATAGATACTATTATTAGAACCATTAATTCTCCTTCAAGTACATAATTCGCATTTACATCTACAAAATAGTGGATTTCGAATTAAAATGAGAGGTTGAATTGAATATCTTAAACAAATGCATACATATATGCATAATTAGTACAAGCAAAACCTTCTTGATTAATTCCCTTTTGCCTTACCCATTGCACAATAGTACAATTCTCTCTTTCTCTTTCTCTTTCTACTTTCTCTACTTGTTTGTCACCGATTACATATTTCATCTTCTAGAAAAACAACAATTTCAGAATAAATTAGTAATCAAATTTGTTGGGACATCTTGCTTTATCCCCTTCTTTAATTTTCAATATTTTTTTTTTTCAAGACTTGGGAAGGTGGTTTCCTTCAATAAATGATCTAAATAGCTGAAGTGCTGCTCTGGGCTTGAAAAGTGGGACTTCATGACCTGCTCCTCTCACTGTTGCAAATGTCAATCCTTCATACACTTCTGTCCACCCTCCCACCTTTATAATATAAAGAAAAAATTAGACTAAATACATAAATATTTATAGGCAAAGAAAGAAAAATAAATTAAAGGAATACACACATTTTTCTCAAAAGGAAAAAAAAAAAAACAGGGGCCAAAATAGCCCAACAATTCAACTTATGAGTTAGAATATTGTCAATCATTCACATAAAATTAAAAGAGTAAAAATCTCGAGAGACAGATACATTCAATCTTTGACGAACTCTACTTCCCAATTAGAACTCACCAATGTCAGCGCCTCCACCGCTACCTTCACGTCTCCTTAATAGTTGTTGTTTTTGTTGGCTTTTTTTTTTTTTTTTTTTTTTTTTTTTTTTTCTCTTTTTCCTCATGTGTTAAGATTTACACATAAAAAATTGCATGGTTTGGTATGTAGAATTAGATTCTGCCAAATTACATAAGAATCTACAGGCTAGTCATATAGTCATTGATTAATTAAGATCTATTAGTTTTTGGAGTCACTTGCTGGATTTATGCTTCTTGTCAATCAAACCAATACCTAATTAATTTGACTAGCTGTTACGTGCTAAAAAACAAAAGCACTAGTTACAAGGTGTGGAAGTATTTAAGGAAAAAAAATCCACATTATAATGAGGACATAATTCTGTAGGGTAAGCTGGCGTTGATCAATGTTGATTATAAAACACAAGCTTAATTCTCTTTTTTTTAAGAACACCGGTGTTCTCTGTTTATCAGCCGTTTAATCTATATTATTTTTTTAATCTGATTTGACTTTTGATCAGATTTAATACAAATCCAATGACTGATAAACAGAGAACATAAGGGAAACACCAAAAAGAGTCCGTTTTATATATTGATCAATCCCAAAAACAATGAGAAACTTGTTTAATTTACAAAGCTACTTGCCGAACCGTACAAATACTACTTGATGATCATAAACATTTTTCTTTAATCGTTTGTGTAAGTTAAATAATGCCAAAGAAACAATAATAGAGAAAATTAATATCTTATCATATCTATATATAAACTAAAAATGTTTTGAGAAAAAGTATCATCAATTGGTGTACTAACCTGCTTTTTGACATACCAAGGGTACCAAGGAATTTTGGTTGGTAAATTGAGTCGTGCAAGGGAAAACCTTGTGGCTGTGACTGGCACCACCGAATCCACATCTCCACTGCATAATTAATAATAACATTAGTCAAGAAAACGCTTATAAATTATAATAAACTAATTTGGTTTAAATATAAAGAATATATATATATATATATATATATATAATAGCAAATAATCTGCAATTTCAACCTGAAAACCCAAACTCTCAAACGAGCAGCTATCATCTCCTTGTAAATTGGAAGAACAGAAACCTCTGTGTCGTTCCAATTTCTATTCAAAACCTCACTGCATATATACATCAATTAAGAAAAATTAATATATATTTAGCAAATTAAAACCTTTGTTTTGCATATTTTATTTGATTATGCTTGATCTATAGAGACTCACCTACAAGCAGTCCATTTATAAGGAATTCTTGTTATGTTGGCGTGGAGTGCTTTCTGCACATCCGGCCTGTTGTAGTAAATTTCAGCATATTTCTCCGTACACGGATCATAGCCTGATAACTTCCGGAACATCATCTAAATTAAGAAAATCAATGTACAACTTTAATCATACGTCCATATAACCAAATCTCAATATTTAAGTCGAAGGATATGATTTATGTTTTTCTTTTGTTTTTATTTTTTTTATTTGACTTAAAAACAAAAATATTGATACAAAGTGAAGGATCATGTCACAATATTTACGATAGGAGGCATTTGAGGATGAAGTCATTGGAATTTGAGTTATTTGGACGTTTAGTTTATGGATTTAGAACTATGATTCAGAATCATTCTTAGTTTACGTGTGTTTTTTATGAGAAAAAATTTTGTAACGAGCCACGAACTATAACACGAATCCTCGTACCAAACACCTCATTAGATTTTTTTTAAAAATTTTTTATCCATCATATCTGATCGAACATATAAAAAAGTGTGATATATTGTCAATCACTAAATAAGATCTTAAAATTTCACATTGATATATATTTGGCGTGAACTAAAAAAGACGTGGCAAAATACCGAATAGGGGCGGTGAGGCAGATGCATGGAGTGGCGGGTGGCGGTGGCGCTGCCGTCGGAGTTGATGTGGCAAGGGGGTGCATAGATGTTGTACTGGTCAATATTGCCAAACTCCTTGTCCATGGCATAGCTATACATGGACTCGCATTGGTCAGTCTCCTTCTGTCGGCGAAAGTCACACGTGTTGATGAGCTGCTTGTACGTTCTATCAGATATCATCGCATGGCTCCACCAGTATGTCACTGTCCCTACGTTATCATAGTAGTTGTCTGTCACTGCGTTCCCCACCTATATTATACAACACTTGATCATTTTTTTTTTCACTTCATTACATATAATTCACTGATAATAATACATGTTTCTTCATATTATAGGTCGTATATATTAATCAAAATCAAACAATATTAAATAAGAAATTACATAAATAAGGGAAGATTAATTTTGTAATGTAATTATAGTAGTACCATAATTCCACGAAGATTTATGGGGTTCTTGGACCGTTTGTTGTAGATCAAGATCTCTCTAGCGAGTTGAGGTACATAATGGCCTGCGTAGCTCTCTCCAGTGAGAAACACTTCTCGGCCTTTGTATCTTGGGAATCGGTCCAGCCATCGGATGAGGAATTCTAGTGAGTCCTTTGCTGAATCGTGTATATATTTATATATATATATATATATATATATATAATGGCCCATCAAAATAGTTGGCAGAGAAAGAGGACAAATTAAGCTAATAGCACTATTGCACTACAAATCATTATTAGTGTTGAAAAGGTGTGTGTATATATAAAACTTTTTTTTCCCCTCTCTTTTTGAAAGAACTTCTGAAGTGATGATTAATACTCAATAGTTTACTATTGCTGACATGTATATGGGCTGCCAAATCAATTATGTTGAATAATTTGAGCATTCATATTCAGTAATTAAGCGGTATACAAATACAATTCGTTGATTAGATGTGAAAATGTAGGTTGATTTGTTTGTGCTCTTAATTTAGTATAGTAGTACCGGTGCGGCGGTCTCCGGTATCAAGCAGATCGGAGGAGCGGTTGCTGTAAGAGAATCCGACACCGGCCGGAGTTTCCAAGAACAGGAGGTTGGCCACAGTGTTCCATGAGAACTTGTTGAGGTATAGTCCTGAGGCAGTCTTGTTAATTCTAAATGGGCCTATCTCTTCAGATGCACCATATGCCACAGATGAGCAACCGGGTCCTAACAACCACCAAAAGCAACGAAAGAAAAAGGACTAACTATCATGATCTTTTAATTTCGCTGCAAAAGGTTATAGTGATCACTTTTGTAAATTAACAACAGCACATGGTAAACACAAGATTATATTAGTGCATTAATGAGTAGCTGTGTAGAACTTAACTGATAGTAATTCAGAAGAATGCCCTTCTAGAGAAGAATGCCCTTCTAGCAAGGAAGCATAAAGATTTTACCCTTCTTTCAATATTAGTAGATTTCTTCGCCCTTGTTTTTCCGTTTAGAGTCAGAACTCGTGACACAAACTAAAGAAGTCAATTGACAGGAAAGATTCCCTAATTTTCTCTAATTGTTTTAATTAAATCTTGCTATTGTGGTAACCAATAGAACAAAAAAAAAAAAGGGTTAAATTTCATTGCCTTTAAAATAATGAGAGGATCAAACTCTTATATCAACTTTTAATATCAATCTACTTTAATAATAGGTATTTAAAAGATTGCATTTACATATTATATATATGAGTACTAATCTTAAAAACCGCGTCTACTTGTGAAAAATGACAACTTACCGTCACGCAACTTGGTATGTATTGAGACTAAAATTGGATATCTAGCACTACTTGTATCTTTAATTTTGGTGCAAAAAGGCGTGCACATATTTGGTAAATAATCTCGCATGGTCATCATTTAGTCCTAGACTTTTACAGAAGTGTGGCTACACAAAACTTAAGTGAAGTTAGTTTCTGGTTGCTTTCAAGAATATTTTGAGTCCATTGTATTGACTGCAGATGTACCGACTTCATTCAACTACGAGCTAGAGAGAGAGTGAGAGCATTCAGCATTGTGTCATTATTTGCTTTTCTGAGTGATGGCGTTTTCTGCTTATCCAAACATGGAAATGAATTATTAGGTTGTAACGTTTATGTAATTTGTAACATCTATTAATAGTTGTGCCATCATTCCTGTAGCCAATATTATGGTAGGCCCTTGATGTGGACTCAACTGCTTATTCGTTTTCTTCTTTCTTCTTCTTCTTTTTTTAAAAAAAAAACATGTTTTTAATAACATTTTCTAGTCTTTTTCCTTTTGTTCTCTTTACACTAATATATTACACTCTTTTCTGCTTTACAACACCCCGCCAGAGAGAGAGAGAGAGAGAGATCAGAGAGGCTTCAATTGAATAGGAAACAAGATTAAAAATAAGGGACAATAGAAAAAGTAAAGTAAAAAAAAAAAAAAAAAAAAAATTGTTTTCTTGAAAATATTTTATCGATATATTTAAATGCTAGAATGTTAATAAATTTTCTGTATTGACGATCCGTTGTTAGGTCAACAACCTGTCTTTTCAAAATGCAATATAACAGTGAGCAAATACAATAAAATAAAATAAAACAAATTACCAACTTCAAAAATAACCATCTGGATCAACACAGTAGCATATATCAAAACGAAAAATATAATCAAAAAAATATAACAAAGTAACAAACCAAATAAACTCATGCTTGCAACAAGAACCCAACTCTTGAATTATCTCCATATATATATAACACATAATGACGAAAGTTTATTTGTTTTCTTACCTCCATTGAGCCAAACGACAAGAGGCCTTGACAAGGGTTCATGAACAGCCTCAGTGAGCCAGTAAAAGAGGGCTCTACCGGCGACTCGGCTAACGGTGACATAACCTGAAAACTGCTGAAAAGAGACCTTTGGTTGCCCAGGAAGTTCCACAATCCTATCACGAGCTTCTTCTTCTCGTTGTTGTCGTTTCTCTCTTTCTTCCTTCACTCCATGGCTTGCCCTAACTTGGAGACCAAAAGGCAAAACACAGACTACTAACCAAACGGCCAAGATCTGTACTCTTCTGGCCATGGCCAAGCCAAGCTAAGCCAAGCCCTTAATAATAATGATGAAGAAGAAGAAGAAGAAGCTGCAAGGAAAGAAAAGGAAACTGTGTTGCTTCCTAGTTGTGTGTGATGGTAAGTAACGAGTGTGCTATTCAGTATGGATTAAATAGGAGAGAGAGAGAGTAATTGTGACTTGTGAATGTCATCACTGAATATATTAACGCAATGGAGTTTGCCACCCATTGAATTCTGCTAAAACGGACAGCCTAGGATGTGAAAAGGCAATAATGCCCTTCAAAGGTTTTAGGATGAGCAAAAAAAGGAAAATGCCAAAAAGAGACCACTTAGGATATGTTTGGTTGGTAGATTCGTGCCATGATTCGAATCATAGTTCGTGATTCGCTACAATATTTTCTTTCATAAAAAACATACGTAAATTGAGAATAATTCTGAATCCACGAATTAAACGTCAACTTAGACTAGCTCAAGTGATAGGAGCGTGAATATGTGCGTGTATTCATTCAGATCCAAATTATATGGTAATTTTATTTTTTGTGTGATGTCGGAGTCACAACTCCACACCATATAAAAAAAAATTGCCAAAAAAGGGCAATATGGAAATTCAAGTACATGATAAGGGTGGGGTGCCCTTATTATTTGGGCCAACATAAATTCTTTGATTTCCGTAGGGGAGGTGTGACTTAAGTGTTGGTATTAATAATAAGGCAATGGGATCACATGCCCTACGCGTGCCCATGAAACAGTGTCCCTTTAATCCTCCATTAATTCCTCTTGTATCCATATACCTGACTTTGACTACCTTTTTTCTTCAATATTGGCTTTATCCTCTCCAGTCTCATAAATATTAATTTCCCCCTCTTTTTGTTTTGTTTGGATAAGATTCATCGAACTGTATTTTTTTATTACACTTACTTTTATTTATTTAAAAAATAATCTATGGACCTTGTTGGTTGAAAAAAAATATATTTAACTTTGGAATCACTATTGATCTTTAATTTGCGGCCTCTAGCAATTATTGTATACCAGAAGTGGGGAGAACAAGTAGGTACTCAAAAAGTGGTACGCTAACCTGGGATATTCATACTTATTATGCCTGCTAGCCAGTTTCCGTCTTAATTAATTAACTTTAACCGAGATATGAATTTCGTTCATATGCTATCAAATCATTTCGACATATTTCTTTATGTTTATATATTTTTGAGTTCGAGTATATAATATCGTCATTAGTAATATATATTTCAATCGCCTTTTTGTTTTTTAGTTATTTTTCTTTATTCCACATGAAAAATGGTACTCAAAAGTCAAAAGTTTTTTTTAGAGATTCTTTTAATCGTTAAATTTACGTATTTTTTAATTTTTATATATTTTTTATACAAATTTAATAAATAAAAATAAAAAATTTAAGAGTTGTTTTTTTGGAGTGTAATTTGAGTGTAGTTTTTGAGTTAAATTTGAGTTATAACTTGAGTTGAAGTTAGAACTTGAATAAAGTTGAATAAAATTAAATAAAGTTGAAACTTAAAAGAACGTGAATTTTAATAAAATTAAAATTTGAGTTATCTTTTTTTTAAAATTTTTTAGACAAAAAAACATGTCTTTAATGTTTCAATATATTAACGTACTAAAAAAATTTATTTAAAGTGAATATTTACGTAACAACCAATGATGGCAAAAGGCTAAAATAAATAGGCCAACAAATATTTTACAAGCGCGGTAAATTTTGAATTTTCTTTCTGTACTGATTAATTTGTATGTACTGTCGACATTTGTTGACGTGAATATACGTCACTTCAGTAGAGATTCACCTCTCAAAATCTTGGAACATGTAGAAGTACTGCAATTTTATACATTTTAAATTACAAACAGTATTTTGCGCTTTTCCCATAATTATATATATATATATATATATATGTATATACATATAAATCAACTTCCTGTATTGCTTGCTTCATTCCTACATACCCGATTTTCATGCATATTTGATTATAACAAATCATTAAAAACAGATTGTCCAAATAAAAGAAAGGAAACCCTTCAAAAAAATAAAATAAATAAATAAAAGAAAGGAAAACTGCAACACACAAATTATAACATAATATTTTTATCATGATATTTAATTAGCAAAAAATATTAGAAAATAGTTTTGGCCAGGATATAAAAAGCGGTTTTTATATCCAGTTAAAAAGGGAAACGCTTTTACTGCAGTGTCTCTTTACGTGCACGCGAAGAGGCCAGCCAGGCCGGAAGCGTCATATTGGTTTCCAAAATTATTTTGGTGTGTCTTTGTGGCCATATGGTGATGATGGCCATGAATATGATGACGGGCTCTCCTTGGACTTGCATTGCCCTATTCGAAAAGGTTGTGAAAAGGCTCTAACTTTTAACCTTCAAATTAGATCACCATTATTTTTTTTTTTGGTAGGCATAGCCAAACAGGGGAACGTTTGGTTCATGGATTTAGAATCATGATTCAGAACTATTCTCGTTTTACGTGTATTTTGTGAGACAAAATACTGTAACGAATTACGAACTATGATTCGAATCATGGCACAAATTTTCTTTCCAAACGTCCCCTTAGTAACGTGATCTACTTGGTATAAAACCGTATATTCTTCCCTGCATTGCCTCCTGGTTCAAATGTGTCTCTCCCATGCATATAGTCCATATCACGCTACACAAGCATATGGACATCCGACGTACCGGTGGGGGTGAAGGCATTGCTGCAGAACGAAATAGTGAGATTGTGTGATTGACGTGTATAGATCTTGAGAGTACATTGTCGATCACGAGAAGATAAACCGATTCTCATTTTAATATTCCACATGTGATTCCAATTGATCGTCCTCAATATGGTACTTGGTGGGGACGTAAAGAGGCTGCGTATCCTCTAATTTACAAGCAAAAAGTGATAGATCTCCACTTAGCTTAATAGCTCATAGTTCCAAACAATTTTGAATTAATTAATTATTTCATAGATATTCTATAATTGGCGTATTTTACTATAAGTACTATCATGTGTAGGGGACAAATTGTGAGTACTATCACAAAATGGGAATTTTGGATGTCCATGCTCTAAAACACGCGTAAGTGAAAGTACTCTTGAGATATTTTTTTCCCTTAACTTTGAAAGGATAAAGAATTATTGGACTCGTTCATTTCACCGATTCGAGTTTTCAGTTCTAGGTTTATACAGTAAAAAGCTCTCAGAAAATGTCACATCTAACTTTTTCTGTTACAGTGAAAAGCTGTAAGAAAATATCACATCTTAACTCGAATTGAAAACTCGAATCTGCAAAGTGAACGACGCCTTAATATTGATAGAAGAGAATTGTGCAAATTGTTTATAGTCTGTGCAAGTGGAGTTAATATATCTTCAGCTATGAATAGTACTAGTAGTATAGGAGCAGAAAACTGTAAATAATAATGCTATTTAAGACATATCATAGTGAAAACAGAGGTGATAGCAGCAGAGTTGTTGAAAGAAGCATTGAAGAAGGCCCCTCAATGCCTTTTGGAGATTTTTTTTTTTAATTTCTGAAATCACTACAACCAGTCGTTTTTATTACTAAAGAGACCACGCTGCAGTGAACAACCAGATGAAATAAAGAACTATTAAGAGAAAAGCGTGTCGTTTCTGTTAATTATGTCAAAGCTTAATTACTCTCTCTCTCCCTCTATATATATAATATATGCAAGACAAAACCACATTGAAGTGTTCCTCGTTGACCCACAATGTCTCACTTTTTTTCTCGTGTAGTTGGAGGTTAAGGTCCGTTTGGTAGGAGGGATGGATTGATTGAAGAATGGATTAGGTATGAGGGATGGGGAGTGGGAGTGGGAAGGAATAGATGAATTGTAATTTTTCTCAAAATTGTTTAGTATGAGATGAATGAATGATTGTTGTTATCTTACCCTTTATTTGGTATTGAAAAGAAAGGAAGATGGGAGGTTTAGTTTGATTCTTAAAATTACTATATTGCTCATGCTAAATAAATTAGTTTTCATTTTTAAGATGTCTATTGATTAATAACTAATAATGCTATATGTAATTTTCTATAAATAAAATTTTTAATATTCAATTTGTACATATAAACAAATAAACTTTTTAAAAAATTTACATATGGGAACATTTTTATAAAAAAAAAAATAAAACGAATATATAGACACACAAATAGTTTTGAGTAAAAAGAAAAAAAATGAAAAATGAAAAAAATTATTACCGTTTAAAAATTTTTGAAAAAAATAAGAAAATATTAAATTTATATTATGCAATAACAATTAAATATATGTTTTACATATGTATACATGAGTTTTAAAATTATCATTTATCTATATCTAAAAACAAATTATTAATAACGTTATAATATATATATATATATAATGAGATGGAATGGTATTGAAAAAAAAATACAAATATAGTAATTGGTATTGCAAGTTTTATGAAAAGAGTGTCAAAATGGACATTTCACCATTAACTTTCTTCTTCACCTCCCAATCCGTCCAATATAGGGGGGATTGTTTTTGGTGGGCCCGGGTGGATTCACAACCCCTTGAGAATTCACTCCTTTCATCAATCCATCCTACTAAACAAATAAAAAATTTCCTCTCGCCCATTTTTTCCCACCCCTTCCCTTCCATCTTCTAATCCGCCTTACCAAACAAATCCTAAGTTTTGAAGGGGTTTGGAATTAAGTGCAGAGGGTGGCTTTCAATTTAATCATTTTTGGCTTAATTAAGTGAGAATCGTGATAAGAGAGTATGACAAAACAATTACATATGCGCGGGTCCCTTTCCTTTACAGTAATATATGATCATGTGCGGCATAGCCTATATCTGGAAGGTGGAAAGATAATATTCAAGTGGCCGGGGTTGCTTAATTTCAACACATGCACATGGGATTCTCATAATATATATTCTCATAATATATATATATAGATATATATATATATATATTTTCCTTCTCCTTCCAAAATTTATATAGGACTGCACTCGCTAAGTAGGGTTATCAAGTTATCACTTCCCTATATTTAAGTGATATAGTCAACATTGCGAGTGACTGTTAGATATTTATCAGAAATCACAAAGGTTGTTAAGTCATGAAGTTATAATTATTGTCATGATGATTATTATCTTGTATCTCATATATTCACGAATCATAATAAATTATTGTAGTAGCTGAAAAAGAATGTAATATATTATTGATGCAAAGCTCATAAATTGTGTTTTCATGTTTGCTTGATTTATTTTCACTATTTTATTGCTCCCTTATTAATATAGAATTAGAGTGTCTGATTCTTAACAATGGTTACTAACAAAGAAATATTCTTAACAATACTAGAGACACTTGTGTTTAATACCACAGCGCACACTAATAAAAGATAAATAAGTATGAGATCCACAAATAAAATAAAATAAAATAAACTAAAAGACATTAATAGTGTTGGACACAGCACACTAATAAATAGTGGATCTCATAAAGTAAGGCACCGTTCACTTCACCGATTCGAGTTTAGAATTCGAGTTTTGCTACAGTAAAAAACTCTCAGAAACAGTCACATCTAACTTTTTTGCTACAGTAAAAAGCTCTCACATAAAGTCACATCTCAACTCGAATTAAAAACTCGAATCAGCGAACTAAACAGGCCCTACAAGTGGGGCTTACTCTACCAATAAGAATGCTCAACACCAACGGTGACCCCATGTATTATACCATAAATAAGACTTGTTTTCTATTACTTTCTTGGAAACTTTTATTGTAGGACACGTATTTTGGTTCACTTATAAGGAGGTTAAATATGTATATGTTAACATAAAACATTTACAGCGTGTGACATATACTCCTACTCTCCGGTCTGTGAAAACAACTAATCTAACAGTTAAAATATAATATGAGTTATGATTTAAATCGGTAAAATAAATAAAAAAATAGTCTACAACAACGAAACAAATAACTTTTTTCCACCGTAAGTGCACCCTGCCCTTCTTTCTTAACACCAATAGAGCCTAAGTAAGTAACTGCTTTCAGTTACTTTCTTGACACCAAAAGTGCCCAAGTAGTTTTTAAATATTTTTGACTCATTTATTTTATTAATTTTGTTATAATTAAAAGTTTTTATAAAAAATTATATCTAATTTTATTATTATAAAAAAAAAAATTTACATAAATAATATTTAAATTTAAATTAAAAACTGGAATTCGTAAACCCATTAACCTTTTCGTATGTGATTAAGGGTGACAATTCGTGTCGTGTTTGTGTCGTTTTTTGATCGTTTCTTTCTAAATTTGCAGTCAACCCGAACACGACCCGTGACACGAAATTTTTTAAAAACCGCAACACGAACACGACACAACCACTTTACGAATTGACACGACACGACCTGAAAATGACCCGTGACCCGAAATTGACCCGCGAAACCGAAATTGACACGAAAATTATGTACTTTTATTAGTTTTTTACATATTAAAAATAACTTAAAATTCATAACACGCGAAAGGACGATAATATCCATTGAAATTAAACAAATAATAGTATAAGATTTTGAATATAACTATCATGATATCACAAGTTCATAATAAAATTTAAAATATGAAATGAAAAATATATGTATTTTTTAGTTTTTTACGAGTTTCGTGTCGTGTTCGGATTAGGCGGGTCAAACCCGGAATTGACCCGTGTTTTTTGTGTCAATTTCATGTCGATTCAATTCTGACCTGAACTTCTTTTTTCTCAACCTTAACCCGTAAAATTCGTGTCATTTTCGAATCGTATCGTCGTGTCGTAATTTATATTGCCGGCCCTATATGTGATATGAGCATGACCGTTGCAAGACAGCTAATCATACAAGTCATAAGAATCAATAATCTGATATTGCTTCTTATCGATTCCTCACTCAAAAAGTTCGTATCTTTCTGAAGCACAGAAACTATCAGAAACAGAGTCCCAACACTTGGGACTGCCAATAACACGTGCCTAACACCACGCCTCTGCAGCCAATTACGTCCAGACGATGTAAATTGCCCAAGTACTATTCCATATGACCACGGTCTCAGCTTATGTAATTAATTAGTTTGTTATGGCTATTTATCTCAAAATTGATTTTCTTTTTCTTCTTCTTTTTCTAATTAATGGAGTTTTACCTACCCAGATGGTCAATTTCATGCCACTTGCGTTACATCATGGCTTACCTTATGCATCGTTGCATTAACGATTAGATCAAACAAAAGGTTTTTTTTTATTATTATTTCTTATCCGTATATATTAACAGTTTTCCTTCTTTCTTCTTTTTAAGAAATTGTTATTACAAGTGATAAAATGACCATTTTAAGGTCCGTTTAATTCGCTAATTCGAGTTAGATGTGATTTTATATAAAAAATTTTAAATGTGACTGTTTTTGAGACTTTTTACTGTAATAAAACTTAAATTGATGAAATAAAATGGGTACTATATTCTTTTTTTCCCCAATATACGTGACAAAATAACTAAACTAGTAAAATGGACCTGAAACATTTTGTTATCAGGTCAATACTGGCTTAATTAAAATAGGAATTACAAATCATAAGGAATCTCAATTTAAGGTGGCAAATATTGTTTAAATATAGGTTCCCACACAGGCACATAATGATTTTGTTTCCATCGAGAGAGATCAATAGCCCCACTAAATGAATTATACTTGTGGGGGTCGCTGGTCAGGGGTCAAAACAAAAATGACATTGTGTATAGGCCTCGTTCGTTTCGCTGATTCGAGTTTAGAATTCGAGTTTTGTTACAGTAAAAAGCTCTTACAAACAATCACATCTAATTTTTTTGCTACAATAAAAAGCTCTCACATACAATCACATATCAACTCAAATTCTAAACTCGAATCATCGAAACGAACGAGGCCTAAATATATATACAGTTTCTTTGCTTATAGTCCAAGAACGATTGGGTCCATGGATTGGAAATATGGCACACATTGATGGGTCAACGGTCAATCCTCTCGCTCTTGGGCCACTTCAATATAGGAAGATAGCGGCGGTAGCTGCGGGCTATGGTCATGATTTTGGTCACGGTACATGACGATGAAGTGCTTTCTCGAAGCAATGTTAAAAGTACGTTTAGTTAGAGGATTTAAATCATGTGATTTGAATCATTTTTAATTTATATGTATTTTTTATAAAAGAAAATACTGTAAAAAACTACGAATTATGATTCAAATCAAGAAATGAATCCTTCTACCAAACATCCTCTTAGTTTTCATTTATCGTAGATTTGGTTATACATATTGGTTTTAAGTAATTTTCAGCCAAACAAAAAAGAGATTATCCCCGTTAATATTCTTGAATTTTGATATTTTTTCTCATTTTCTCTCCTAAACTTTAAAAATTACAACTCATATTATTTAGAACTTTTATCTTGTTCCACTTTGCCTCCTCCATTTCTTGTCAAAAGAGATGAAAAAACACCATACGCACTCACGTGGGGGGGGTCAAAGAAGGTAAATCATAAAATCTTAATTAGCATTTCATGTTAAGTTTGCAAACATAAACCTCATTTTCAATCTGAAAATTTTTGCGAAAAAAAAAAACTCTCTAGAAACAAGAAGATGGGTTCCAAAAAAAAAAAAAGAAAAAAAAAAAAGAAAATGGAGGCTAATGTGAATAAAAGTTTTCGCTAAATATTAATGTTTCGTATATCATTGATTAAGGGCTTTTTTTTTTTTTTCTTTGATGAATTTCGAGTTTGAGTCTTATTGGAAAAGAAGATTTTCGTTGCCATGAAACCCCAACTCAATGCTCAACAAATGGTGCCCACCTATGGTAGAGGTGCTTAACTTTTTCTTGGTTAAAATTTGAGTTTAATCTTTAATAAATAGCGATTAAAGGTTGATTATTTGGGGATTACTATTAAAATTCGAGTATTACCCTCGAAGAAACCCCACGTGAGCACTTATGGTGTGTTTTTTGTCTCCTTTTGGTGGTAAATAGAACAACCGAGTAAAGTGAAACAAAATGCAATTTAAAGTAATATAGAGAGAATTTTTAAAATTTAAAAAGTAAAGTGAAAACGATCTCAAAATTTACAAAGTTATGATGTGAGTAACCTAAAAAGAAAACATGTATAAGTAATTCCCTGCAAATAGTCCTATAGTAATCCTATTCTTTTATTATTGTCAAGTTAAACTTTACATTCTTCTTAAGAGGGAGGAAAAAAAAAAAGGATAAAAGAAAAGGTAAAGAAAAAGAGAAGGGCATAGGTAGCCTAATTGGTTGAGTAATTTTTACGGAGGAAAATTGTGGGTCAGGAAAAGGAATATTGGTGGACCAAGTTGGCCCAGTCCTGGACCTGGACCTCCAAGTATTGAACGTCTACACCCAGAAGCGACCAACGTTAGTTTTGAATGTCAGCGCAGAAACATTGACGACGCCTTGAAAATTCGACCGTTGCAAATTGCAAAATTTGTGTCTCTTTTCCATTAAACGGTCATCTCCCTCACTCAATACGTCTTCTTCTCTCACTCCTGACGTTAAATCCCTTCTCAAACTCTTTCTCTCACTAAAAAAACTCTCTCTCTCTCTCTCTCTCTCAGACAAAAATACCAGAGTTCGTGCTCCTGTTATACCTTCGTTCTTCATAAATTTCTGTTTCCAGGTAAATTACAATATGACATATACAAAAATCCCAATGGAGAACAAGGTCGAAAATCCTATGGAAACCCCAATCCAATCGGTAAAACCAGTCTCCGAAGATCACAAAACACCAACCCCAATTGCTCAAACCAATAAGAGTCTTCAAAACTCTCCAAATTCTGGGACCGATTTGCGCAAGCCCACCACTCCCGATCTCCTCAAGGTCCCCAAGGCTTTTAAGTACCCAGAAAGGTAAACCTAAAATTCTTCATTTTTTATTTTGAAAAAAAAAATTATTTATTATAATCCTCTGCAATTAACAAAACCATGTTCCGTTTTTAATTTGCCAATTATTATTTTTTTATTTAATTTGTTTACAAAATTTTGTAGATATAGAAGCCCAACCGACTCTTTGATGTCCCCTGTGACGAAAGGCCTTCTCGCCAGAAGCAGGAAGGGAGGGGCTCTCTTGCCGCCCAGTAAAAATCATCACAAGGTTTGTCATAAATATCATTTAACGAAATTAATTTCAATTTTTTTTTGGGTTAATTCAATTGGTTAGATTCGATAGCTCATTTTGTGTCACTTTTTACAGATTCAGGACTTGCGTCTCCAGGATGTGGGTCCTCTGCAGGAGATCAAGAACTGAAGAAGAGCATCTTCTATCTATTCTGATTCTGTCAATTCACCAATTTTATTACTTGAGAGGCTTTCACTTTCTAGTGGATATGAATGTCATGTAATTTTTTGGCAGGGTTGTTCATTTAATTTGATTATAGTTTTGTTTTTAATAAGATTGTTTCGTATGCTTTTATTCAAGAAATCTTCTGTTTGTGTGCACTGTGCCCACACCCCAATTTTATGAGAATTTATTTTGTTTATACCATTTTTTTTTTCAGGTACAAACATGTTCCTAATATGCAACAAAAATACGTTCCCTGAATCATAAAAAAAAAAAAAGGAACATGTTCAAGAAAAAAGTAACGTTATATTTGGATCTTAATGCATATGGGGCTAAATCGACATCCCTCGGAATAAACGACATGTAGTTTTTCATACGTCAACTATAAAACGACGTGTTATTTCCTAAAAAGCGTTTGGAACGCCAGGTCGTTCATTGAAATAAATGATAATAGCAAAAAAATTGTCCTTTGTTTGTTTGTTTTTTTTTTTTTTTTTTTCTATTTTTTGAAAATGTCGTTTTGAGCCTTGAGGTGTTCATCAAACAACAACAAACTTTAAACAATAAACTACATGTCCTTTTATGAGTTAAACGACAAGTATAAACTATGCGACTTACAAGTTTAACATACTAATCTCTCTTCGTTACTCCAAACGAACTTCGTACCATTGGACTGAACCAACATCACCTTGGATTTCAAGTTCGCAAACAGAGTTGACAAGGAAAGAAACGGCGTCGTCGATGCTCTCGAATCTTGCGAGGTCCGGAGGAAGAGACTTGCCTGGCCATTTTTCCAGCCAACCCTTCAACGTGGCCCTTAGTTCTTCCTCGGACACAAACCTCTCGTCCTGTCCCGGTTCTAGCAGTACATAAGTTTCTGTTCTTTCATATATCTTTCTCCTCCTTACAGCATAAACCTGACACACCACAAAGAGAAAAGGGGCATTTAGAACTCAATTCCAAGGTCCATAAGTTGTAGTATCAAAGGAGAGGAGAGATTATTAGATGAGTAAAAGAAAAGAAAAAACTAATATATATATATATATATATATAGCATTTACCTTGTTGAAAAAAATTGGAAACAGAAGAGAGGGAACACAGGAAGCAGGAGCACACACTTGTTAGTTGTTATACACAATTTTATTTTGTTTGCACAAATTTCTATATAATATACTTATATTTGTTTTGAATTTTTTACGTGGTAAAATTTTGCATTTAACATTCCCCTGAAATTATATTACAATCTCTTTTGAATTTTCAACGTGGTAAAATTTTGCATTTAACATTCCCCTGAAATTATATTACAATCTCCTAACATACCTTCTCTGATTTTCTTCTCTGGCTCGCCGTTTTAGGAAGTTTGGGATGGATAGAATTCAACTTCTCAGTTATGCCTGCTGATCTTATGTGAACTTGTGGACTTTGAATATGGCATCCTCCTGCTTCTTCAGCTGCAAAAATAAAAAAAATAAAAAAAATAAAAGGATGGTCGTCTTCTGTAAACTTGACAAGATATGAACTTTTCTGTAATGGTAAGAAGTACTTCCACAAAATCCAAAATTACTATTCTTTTAGTTTTTCCTAACTGGCTCTTTTGCTCCACACAAAGTAGCATCTAGCTCCATCGAAGACCAAACTAAACTTATTAAAATAAAATGCTTACTTCATCATATTTCATGAGTTCTGGATCAAAATTACTGATTCCTCTGACATGTATACACAAATCAAAACCATTTGTTAAATAAGATGCAGTTCATGATAATATGTATGAAATGAGAAGAACTTACAGTTGAACCATAGAACTCCAGTTCTGAATATCTGTTTCTGCAAAAGTCTCTCCATCAAGTACTGCTCGCTCTTGTCTGCAAGTTTCAGCAATTTAAATTCCTAAGTTACCAAGTTCTAATGGATATAATATCTTTTGCTGCAAATTTCCAAAATGGCCATATATATATACACACACACACACACACCAAGAGTTATAGATAAACAGATAAAACTCAGCCTCTAACATGTGGACTTTTCTTACCCTCATTGTTCATTGATTTTTCAACTCTACCCCCCTACTTAAAACAATCCCCCCCTCCACTCTTATGGTTAGAAAATGAGAGATATGTTATAAAAATTGAGAGATATAAAACTGATAGAAAGATTTTAGAAAAATAAATAGACAGATGAAATTTTTGATTACTATTATTTGAAAGTGTGCATTTTTAAAATATAAAACGTCGTATTTATAATGAAACTTAAATTTACTGTACATTACTATTCATCTACGTGATTTTACGCGTTGCACAATCCATAATAAAAGCGTAATAGTTGACCTTTTTAACAAGATATTTTTATTTAATTTATAATATGTTTCCTTGAAGTTGCCGAGATCTTCAATTGTATCACAATTATGCATTGCAATTTTAGGTTTCTTTTAAAAAAAAAAAATCAATATAACTATCTTTTTTTATGAAAATTGAATAAAACTATCTAATTATACGGATAGAGCGCATAAACAATTGTTGTAAATTAAGGACAATTTCGCTTATTAATTCACTGCTAAATAAGGACATATATAACGTATATAGCAAACAGAAAGCTGCTTGACGCGCGGTTTTTGTTTTTATTTTTCAAATGAATGGCTGGACATCGCACTCATTTCAAGCTAAAAACATTTGGTCTTTAGGATATGTCCTTGTCCTTTAAGCTCTTTTCCCTTTTTTTTGTCCCCTTTAAGCTTAAACTATGGCATTTTTTTTTTAGTAAAACAACAATAGACTTCAAACTTTAAATTACTCAAAACGACAGAAATCCCAAGAACTAAATACATGTCGTTGTTCCCTTTAAACGACAGAAAATTGTATAGCTTATATGTATTATATACAACTCATCATTGTCGACTTGTCTTTATAAAGATGACAAATCGCATGGCCTTTTTTGTACGAATTCTTAAACGCATAATTGATTAGTACAGGAAATAATGAAACTAAAACTAAAAGTGCAAACGATCCTATTCAAAATAAAACATGTCGTTTATTGAAATGAATAACAGCAACATAAAGTATGGTGTTCGTTTACGCAGCAAATTTTTAACGACATGCCCTTTAACTTAAACGACAAAAAAGAAACATTGCTGTAAACGATGTCGTTTCACACAGTAAACGACAAGAAAAAACTCTCATCCAGCAAACTCTAAAAAACTAGTTGTTTTTAAACCATCAAAAATATTTCTTTTCCTCACAACTAATGGAAGAAGTACACACATTACGGCCCCATTCATTTCACCTATTTAAGTTTAGAATTCAAGTTTTGTTATAGTAAAAAATTCTCCAAAACAATTATATCTAACTTTTTTACTACAATAAAAAGCTCTCACTAAAATCACATTTTAAGTCGAATCAACAATTAAAGGAGCTCTACAATACTTGTACGTATTTCCATCTCAAGTTCAGAATTCAAGTTTTGTTATAGTAAAAAATTCTCCAAAATAATTATATCTAACTTTTTTACTACAATAAAAAGCTCTCATTAAAATCACATATTTTAACTCGAATCAACAATTAAAGGAGCTCTACAATACTTGTACGTATTTCCATCAAATGTTCAGTATTTATATATATATATATATATATATATATCATCAAACCTTTCACTTTCTTCTTTTTCAATTTCCAATACTATATAAAAATTCGTGGGATATAGATCCTACTTTTGTGTGAATATTTTTGGATACCCAAAACAAATAAAACCATGTAACGGATTCAATTTTATAACCCAATCGAGAACGTTCATAATAAAACAAATAACCAGTTAGTTAAAGACCGGCGCCAAAAGAGTCTAACAGTACTGTTGTGTTGGTTACTAACTTACTACGCTGCGAAATGCTAAAACCCCCGACTTTGCCTCTTTGCCTTCCGAGACCAGTTTGTTTCTTCCTCTTATCTCATCTCCTCAACACCATGAACTACCCAATCCTATGCTTCTTATCTACCCCTCCTCTCCTTCTAACATTCCCCATTTTTCAGCATTCTTTGCGAATTCTTACTACCGTTCCTTTTTTGATTTCATCGTCTTCAAGAGCTTCTTGATCTTCCTAACTTCATTTTTCGATTCTGCAGAGGAAGTTAGCATTTCGATTCAAATTGGACAATGGAGATTATTTTGTAAGTGAGCCTTGATTTTGCTTATTTTACATTTTAATTACGAACAATAACAAAAACCTTCTGCGCTTTTACATAAATGTCATGTATGTCTCACTTTGTATTTTCAAGAATGTTGTATTTATTTGCTACGTCTTATAAATTTTTTAACATATTTGTAGAACCTAAAAATATATCCGAAATATCTAAAAATATAAAGCGGGGCACAACATTAGATAATGTTACGGATAAGACGGTCGTTTTGTTTTGTCCTTTCAATTATATATTGTGAGTCAATTTTTTTATTTGTGGAGCAGTACAAATAACACACCACATTTTGTCACGCATTAATGTTCTAAATAACGAATTTGTTGTTGCATTGCAGCAATTTTAGCCAACAGAGATCAACTTAAAAGGCCGGTAATAACGAAGACTCGAATTGATCATTTCAATTATGGATACTGTTCTCGACACTGCAGAAAACGGGAAAGAAAGCAGTAAAAACCGTAAGGAGGACATTGATCATGATCACCCTCAGATGATCAATATCCAAGCAGATAATTCTAACACTATCATCTCCCGCCAAAATCCAAGCGCTTCTAATTCTCCACAAGATTCGTCACCGAAATCAGTAGTGACCGAAAAAGAATTAGTCTTGGAATCCCCTAACCGGTCGCCTAAAGAATTAGTCTTCCCTGACTTACTTGACCATACCAATTCATCACCACTAGACTTTAGTCCTCAGTTCACGCCGGTCCTCCAATCGCCTCGGGTTCAGGCCTCGGCCTCGGCCCGGCCTTCTGGCTACGACCCTAGTCGGATCCCGGCCTCGATTTTCTCGAAGCCTTCGACGCCGAGGGAATGGAGCATGGCCTCAAACGAGTCATTGTTTAGCATTCATGTTGGGAACACAAGCTTCTCAAAAGACCAATTCTTCATGATGTACAAGTCTGGGGAGTTGCCCAAGCTTGACGACTTCAACTTTACATCTTCTACTACATTGCCTCGTCTTAGTGGGACAAATAGTGGTGAGATTAAGAAAATGAATTTCGAAAGTGGCTTGGGAGTTAATAACAAAGAATTAGTAACGCCAGAAAACAAAACCACAAAGGCAAAGGATCACATGAACAACTACTCTGTCGGTGTTGGTGTCTCTTCTTACCGTCCTGATGGGGCCTACAGGAGCAATCGCTCTTTCCAATTCCCTGCGTAAGTAGTTCTTTTTTTTTTTTTTTTTTCTTTTCAAAATTACCTGATTTTTGAGAGAATTAAGAGAGAAATATTTTCCTTTAAAAGAGAAAAAAAAAAAAAAAAAACAGAGCGAAATTTCTAACTGTTTTTAGTATTAATAAATTCCATATTTACTAAGTAAAATATCATATCATATTTATGAATAAAATATTTAGTAAATCTCATAATTACTTAGGGCTTGTTTGGGAGAGCCTTTTAAAAACTGTTTTTAATTTTTTAGATTCAAAAGTTGCTTTTAGAAGTGTTTGGCTAATATGTCAGAAATGTTTTGCCTTTTCAGAAGAGTTTCCAGACAAAATAAAAAATTATGACTTTTCAAAAAAACACTTATGGATAGACTTTAAAACTTATATAAGAGTTTAATTAAGGCATCATAAACTTAGTTCAAACACTTTTATTGTTTATTAGAAAATTTAAAAATCATTTTAACCCATTAAACTCTTTGTTTCAAACACTTATTAAAAAGCTACAGTTACTTATCTTTTTTTACTGGCTAAAAGTGAAGGTAAAAACTCTGCCAAACGGGCCTTTATTATAATTTCTTGAAGATGAGGAGATTAGAAAATTGCTTACTCTACCCATTCCTAACTCACCAGGATCTAAATCTGATCACCAATTTTTAGTGTCCCAATTAGTGTTAAACTAATTAAATCATATTATATCATCCTATAATAAGCACTAAGGAGTTAGTTAAAAAGTAATATAAATTCTTTACACGATGTCGCACGAATTAATTTGTTAGATACAAATTAAGATTTTAAACATTAAAATTAGACAATAAATTTGAATCCTACACACGGGGATAGTGGAATGGAAAAGATTTTTCTTTTTCTTCTTAGGATGCACCTAGGTTTAATTCTTAGTAGCTCCCATCAGCGGTCGTGCTCGATCAATTGCATTTGCAGTGTCAAGAAAGAGGAAAAAACCTATCAAAGTCCCTACCTATCAATTATGTTTCAAAATGGGGGGAAAAACCCTTAATTATCGCAGTGGTGACTCAAATCTTTGCTTACTTGATAAAATAGTCAAGAGCCAATCAGCTTGCTCGTTTCATTTATATATGGCCTCTTATTTATGATCATAATTAGTATAGTTTGTACATGTTTTTTTTTTTTTTTTTTTTTTTTTTTTTTTTTTTTTTTTTTGTGTGTTTTTTTTTTTTTTTTTTTTTTTTTTTTTTGTACGTGACTGTTGCACCGATTGATATTAATTGTGGGCAATTGAACTTCTCAGATTGGCAGGTAATGAAGGTGGAAAGACTCCTTTCCCGATTGTGGACTCAAGAAGGCATAGAGGAGAGCAAACATTTCACCCACAGCCGCTTAATATGCAGATAATGCATCACCATGAACAGTCTCAAAGCTTTGAGACAACGCCAAAATATGGCATCCCCAATTGGTTGGTTTGCTTCTCTTGTTGTCGCCGGCCATGTTGCTGAGAGCTCATCGTCCTACTATAAACCCTGCCCTTAGGTTCAAATTGTCCCAATTATTGAATGCATTTATATAGTTTTAATATTAAGAATGCCAACTTTTTCTTTTTCTTTTTTCTTTTTTATTTTTTTATTGTATAGTCCTAATTAAAAGAAATCATAATAATATTACCATGGTTCAAAAGGGCATGGCCTGCCCATGTTATAGACTCGAATCAATAACCGTTTTTTTTCTTTTTTTTCTTTTTTTCTCTTCCCAAAGAGGAATGGAGTTAATGAGGATATTAAACGGAAAAAATTATATTTAGGATATATTATCCAGCTCAAATATAAGAAAGGATTCAGAAAATTATCAGGTTTTAACCGATTTGCATCTTCTTCTGCATTAGGCGTCATATAAGAAGGAAATATTTGTTGGTAGGTGTGAAATTAGTGTTAGAGATATTGTAATATGTATTGATCAAGATTACAAGTTGTTTGAGTATTAAAATATGAAAACTTGTGTTAAAAGGACTTCAAAACTTTGCAACGGACAAACTGTTTTGATCCGGCCAAACTATTATTTGGCTGCAGCCGAAATGTTTACATGTCTCGGGTCCGTTTGTGGCTGCAACGGGAAAAGATCCGCTGCAGTGAAAATTATGCAGAAAACAATGTTTTCATGAGTTTATGTGATCTAAAACGTTTCGAACCATTACATCTATTGGTGATATATTTTCATACATATCTGAACACCAATTAGCAATAAATATAACTATTGTAATTGGTGTATTAATCCATGAAAAGATACATTTACATTGAAAATGTACATTTATGTCAATGGTTGTAATATTTAAAGAGGACGCGTTTATTCATGAAATGTCACATCTGTCTTTATTAATTCTCTAAAAAATTTACAGACTTAATTTATGTTATGGAACTCAATATTATTACTAAATATTATGTTCAATGATTTGTTATATCTTGGGGGTAATTTGTCATTAAAACTCATTAATAAACTTTGAGAAGTGAGGAAAAATAAAACTTAAAAAAAAAGTATTCTTATACGCCTTAAACTCTATCTTATTTCTGCATTCTTTTCACCCTCTATACTCAAAATTCTCCAACAATTAGTGTAAAATCTATTATGTGCGTGATCTAGTCTCTAATGAGTGAGACGACAGTTTGGTAGCTAACTCTATGATCGCTAATAATTGTGCATTGTCGAGAAAAAGTTATATTAATAATTATTATCTAAGAAATTTTGGGTCCTGCAATCCCCCACCACAAAAAAAAAAAAAAAAGAAGGAATTTACCACACAGGTTCTTTCTTCCTAAAGCCATTACATATTTGAAACTTATTTGTAGAGTCACGATTTGGTGTAGATTATTTAATCTAATAATTCTGGACTTTGGCTTCATGAACATGATTTAACAATTTTAGGCGTCCTAGTTTGCTCAATGATATGCATCAGGACAACTACTAACAAGTGAGGCATGGTAGCCTATATAATACATGTTAGGCCCCGTTTATTTTACTAATTCAAATTTTGCTACAGTAAAAAATTTTTCAGAAACAGTCACATTTAATTTTTTTATTACAGTAAAAAATTCTCATATAAAGTCACATTTTAATTTGAATTAAAAACTCAAATCAGCGAACTAAACGGGCCATTAATCTATCATGGAGACCAAGTTAGAAAATATTAGGAAAAATTTGGAAATGGTATTTTACTAATGAAAATATAACTATATATTGCAATTATTGAACGTGGTAAAAATATTTTTTTTCTTGTAAAACGAAGGCACAGCAATACATGTCAATTATCCAGTGTGAGCACCATTATAATTTTTAGCTAAAACATGGGCAAAACTAAAATTTTTAAAAATTTCTATCCGTAAAAATCAAAATTTCAAAAGTTGAGCGGGGCAAATGCAGCTCTCCACAAATCTATCATATGTTACATGGTAGAATCTATTTACAATATTCTTATTAAAACAAGTTATTTAGGAATATTATTTGTCTACTCCCGTTTTTAATCGAAAAAATCAAGATGGATTGGAAGTTTATTTTCTTTCTAAATCTGCTAAAGAAAAAACCATTATTTAACTTTTGATAAAAACAACAAATAATGACCAGGGAAACATCAATCTGAAATTTTGGTTCTAAATCCACCAATTTACTTTGGATTTGTTTGAAAACGCAAATATTTGAACATTCTGATTGTTGTTTGCATAGAGAAATCACAGGTTGAAGAATAGTAACTAAAGTTGAAGTTAATAGGGATACAACAATTATGTTTATCTTCAATTGTGATAAATCACCTTTCATATGATTGTATGGAAGGAAAAAAAAAAAAAAAAAAAAAAGAGAAATATCTCTATAATTTTTGAATCTCTAAAGTGTTTTATTCAGCCAAAAAAAAAAAAAAAAAACCCCCCCGGAAATAAGTACTTTATCTCCTATTAAAGATATTTCCCTCCTCACATGGGCCAAATATAATCCCATCCACATTAATGATTGAGAAGGTATCTGTCAAATTCGAAATTATTCAAATATAAGGACACTCTTAGTAGGGAAAGACATGATTTTATAATGTTGTTGAGAAATAATATCCGCTTTTAGGTTATTAATCAATCAATCAATAAATCGGCCAATTCAAAATATATTAAAAAAAAATAGTTCATTTAACTAGAGTACTTAAGTCAGAAAACGTCACTCCTATGTCATTTTATCAACTATTAAACCGCAAGATCATATGAACAGAACATAATGAAATGTACAACGGATGTGGGAAATGGCCTTTCTCTAGTAGGCTGTTGACTCACTTTTTCTAACTACTATAAATATAAAAAAAGTTGCTTTTTTTTTTTTCTTCTTTTTGCTGAAAGTTCTATACTTTGCTTTTCAAAAGAAACTAGTTGTTATATGTTACCCAATGCCACTTTCAAAGTTTTCATATCTTATTAGTTTATTTTATATATATATATATATATAAGGTTTCTATACCAAAATAAACAAGTCCATGGTTTCGTCTCTTTTTTCCTCATTTTTCTTTGGTGCGCCATTCTCGTGTGCAGATTCGAAGGGCCGAAGTTCGGCACCGGCCACGGGCTGGCCTCCAGACTTCTGGCCCCATGGATGGATTGCAGAACCGTGTGATATCGTCTTCTCCGGCAACTTTCGCATTCGGGGTAGGGAATGGAGGGACACTTTTGGGCTTGGGGTGTGTCATCAGGCATGTGGATGGTGGCCGTTTCAGCCTGTATGTGTGTGTCGGCAACCCCAAGTCAGATGCGGCCTTGGGAGGCGATGGTCAGATTCGTTTGAAGGGGGCTTGTGGAGGGTTATCCTCTAATGGCTCGGGATGGCGGAAGGCACTTTGGGCTCTGTTTTGCGGGGGAGCCTAGTCTGTGTAGGTCTCTGTTGGAAGGCGAATGCTTTGGGGGGCTTTCTCCCTGGTTGGCAGCGGCGGACAGTGGCAGAAGGTGGTTCCTCACGCTAATGTTTGGGCATCTCCTCCACTCTTCAGATTGCGGTCTTGACTGTAGATTTCCTCTCCTAGAGCTGTCACGGATTGTCACTAGAGATTGTGTTGTTGCTGGGTCTGTAACGTTTTGTTTTGGTTTTGTTTATGTCAAACAACAACATTGTTGTTACCGCCAACTATAGTTTTGTTATGCTTTTCTGTTTAATAACGGAGGTGGTTTCCCCACCCTCCGGTGTTGGGTTAGGCTATGATGCCTTTAGTCTCTCTGTTCCATCTGATCGGAGTTATCCATCGCCTATAACAGTGTGTGTGAAAGAGCCTTGTCTTGCTTGATCAGTGGTGTGCCTATTCTGTTTCCACATGTTGGAACTTGGTACATTTTTGGCTCCTTGAGTGTTTTCAATCGAACTTGCTGGTGGTTCTGATTTGTTGTCGGGGTTGAGTCCCTAATTGTGTTATATGGTCTTTCGCGTCTGAATTGGTGTTTGTAATTTTCTTTTAAAATGCAATTTCCATTTAAAAATAAAAAAATAATAATAATAAACAAGTCCAAGTATTACAATTCCTTAACCCACATAACCAAAAATTATATTATGTTTTTACTTTTCTCCACTAATTAAATAATTTGATTAACCATCGAACAGAAACTGAATCAAGCCATACTAATATTTGTTTGAAGGCAGAAGAAAAAAGATAAATCCGAGTTCCAAAATTTTGCTATTTCAAGAGAAATATTATTGTATCTTTGTTGTATTTTTAGCAGCATTTGTTTACTGGCTTTCAAGCAAAACAGCATGAGATCAGTTCTAGCTGAGGATGTTTTACTTTATAGGTAGGCGTATCTTCAGTCAGGATAGCATATTTGTCAATTTGGGGCTTCAAGTCTTTGAGGATAAACCCACAACATCATAACATCATTCATCATTTATTTTTGAGTTCCAACCATTTTTTTAGAATAGAAAAACTTATTTAAATTGCTAGAAAAAATCCCTAACCACTCATTATATCAGACAAATTTTATCTTCACTTCCCTAAGTCTCAACTAATATACTGCTATTAGTATTGTGTCATTTGGTTCAATAAACTAAAAAATTTATATAGATATTTAATTTTTTATGAGAGAAAATACGGTAGTAGAAAAATTTGAAGTTTGATTCAAACGTGCAAAACAAAAATATAAAAATTCCAAAATAACAATGAAAAAATCGCAAAAATGTATTAAGAAACTATTAGAGATGACAAGTTGTAATAAGTGTTTTAATTTTCAAAAAAAAAGAAAAAGAAAAAAACACTTATAAGTGTCTCAATCCCACATTCCAAGTGGACTAGAGTGTATAGGGCCCTCAGGCCTGTGGCTTATCTGGACATCATAAACCCAAGACCGACCCAAACGACCCATCAAAAGGCTGGTGGGCCCCACATTCACCTTCTCGAAAGACAGCCCACGTGGACTCTTTATATATAGGCACGTTTACAAAAGAAAAAAAGAAAAAAAAAACTTTAAGGAATCTTTTTAACCCCGGCCAAAAGGCCTAAACAGCAAACTGACGGGCTGATGCATTAATTAACGGATAATCTTAATAAATATTTTTTAAAAATATTTAAGTCAAAATTTTTATTTTTTATTTATAATATTATTAGTTAAATAATTACATTAATAGAATAGTATTTCACTCTCAAAAATAAATTTTTTATTTTTTTAACTGACGGCAAATGAACCTCACTCTCCCTTGTTTTTTTCGCTAATCCACTCTTCCTCTTTCTCCTTCTCTTCTCCGAGTATGTTCAGTGGACCCCATTATCCACCCCTTATAACACGACAAAAAATCATAAAATTTGAAAAATAATAATGAAACCCCTAAAAAGAAATAAAAAAAAAATAATTAAGAGTGCGTTTGGTTATATAAAAAAGAAAATAATAGAATGAAATAGAATATAAGTATGATGTTTGATTGAATTTATAAGAAATAAATGATCATTTAAAATGAATAACCATTTACTCATTTTAAGTGAATTACTATTCACTCATTTTAAATGAATTATCATTCCTTCATCACATGTGAAAAATAATTATTTTAAACTCTTTTTTTATTTTTTTTTTCATAATTACCCTTCAATGTTAAAATATATTATGTAATTGTTATATCTTATAATATAACATATAATATAATATAGTTACAATATTGTAACATGATTATATTAATAATTCTAATATTATTATTTTATTATATAATATGATCTTATTAATTATTTTATATTGTATTAATATAATTATGTTTATTATATTAGTAACAATATAATAATTAATAACACAAGTTATGACTATATAATATATTTATTTAATATAATAATATATTTTATTATAATTAGATATTATATTATAGTATAATATAATATATTTTTAATTTTAATTATATTATAAAACATTATCGTTTCTTATATAACACTATAATATGTTTTATAATATTAAAAATTATAATTAAATAAAAAAATTAATTCTTTTTATTATTATTATTATTATTATTATTCTCTCGTTACAAAATATTATTATTATTATTCTCTCGCTACAACTAAACCCACTTTAAGAAGATGAAGAACAACAAGAATGAAAGAAAAAAAGAAAAAAACAAAGAGAAGAAGAGAGAAATAAGAGAGAGAATGGAAAAAAGCAAGAGAGAAGAAAAACGCGTTTTCGTCTCGAAATAACACAGTTGAGTCTTCTATCTCTCTCCTCTCTCTTTCCTTTCCACTTTCTCTCTCTTTCTCTGACCATCTCAAGGACCAAAATTAGGGTTAGGGTTTTCGAAAACCCTTAACTCTTTCTTCTACAATTTCAGGAGAGAGAGGGTTCTGGGGAGGTGTTGTTGATCGATTCCTTGGGTTTTGAAGACCCTTTTAAGGGTTTCAGGGCATGGGTTGTTCTTCTTCTTCTTCTTCGTCGTCCTCGTTGGTGATCAAATGGCAGCTTTTGCACAGATTAGCTTCTCCGTTGCTGTTACTGAACCTCCTCTTGCTCTCTTGCTTCTTCGCCGCCTCTCGGAGCGGCGTCGTCTCAGCCGTCTCGGCCGATTCCGACAAATCGGCTCTGCTTCAGTTCAAGAACTCCGTCTCGGACTCGTTCGGCTTGCTCTCGAGCTGGAATGCGATCGGCTCCAATCACTGCTCGTGGCTCGGCGTCTCCTGCGACTCCAATTCCCGCGTGATTTCGCTCAACATTACCGGTAACGGCGGCGGCGGAGGTAATCCGAATTTGAACTTTTCTTCGTGTTTCGATTTTTCCGAGTTTCCGCTTTACGGATTGGGAATCAGGAGGAATTGTTTGGGTAGCAGAGGAAAACTGGTCGGTAAGCTTTCGCCTTTGATTGGGAAGCTCAGCGAGCTTCGAGTTCTGTCTCTCCCTTTCAATGGTCTTGGCGGTGAAATCCCAAGAGAGATTTGGGGCTTGGATAACTTAGAGGTTCTTGATCTAGAGGGGAATTCGATTAGCGGGAAGCTTCCGCTTCAGTTCAATAAGAATTTGCGGGTTCTTAATCTCGGATTCAACAAGATTGAGGGTGAGATACCGAGCTCGTTGTCGAATTCTGTTCGTTTAGAGATCTTGAATTTAGCTGGGAACCGTCTGAACGGGACTGTTCCGTCGTTCGTTGGTAGGTTGAGAGGAGTTTACTTGTCTTACAATTGGTTTGGTGGGGCCATTCCGAGTGAGATTGGGGAGAATTGTGGAAAGCTTGAGCATCTGGACTTGTCTGGTAATTTCTTGGTTGATGGAATTCCTGCCACTTTGGGCAATTGCGGCGAGCTGAGAACGCTTTTGTTGTATTCCAACATGATGGAAGAGAGCATTCCTATTGAGATCGGAAGGCTTTCGAAGCTGGAAGTGTTTGATGTCTCGCGAAACACACTCAGCGGTTCGATACCGCGTCAGCTTGGGAATTGTACTCAGTTGTCTGTCATTGTGCTTTCTAATCTGTTCAATCCAGTTCCAAAAGTCAATTATACAGAAGACAACCCTCCGTTGGAGGAATTGAGTTCTATGTACGATGACTTCAATTACTTTCAAGGCTCGATCCCTGAGGAAATCACGTCCCTTCCTAGGCTGAGGATACTGTGGTCGCCGAGGGCGACTTTGGATGGTCAGTTTCCGAGTAATTGGGGTGCTTGTGCCAATATGGAGATGATCAATTTAGCTCAGAATTTGTTCACTGGGGAAATTCCCGCCACGCTTAGTCGTTGCAAGAAGCTGCGGTTTCTTGACATCAGCTCAAACAAGCTTACAGGTGAGCTTGTAAATGAACTTCCGGTTCCATGTATGACTATGTTTGATGTCAGTGGGAATATTTTGTCTGGTTCTGTTCCTGAATTCAATAAGAGCGCTTGTCCTTCCATTCCATCATTGGATAAGTACTTTTCTGAACTTGACAATCCGTGGTCACCCTATCAAGCTTTCTTTGCATCTAAAGCTGAAGTTGGAAACTCTTTGCAGCTTAACAAAAAAGATGGTGGGCTGGTTGTAATTCACAACTTCGGGCAAAATAATTTTACTGGCAATTTGCCGACGATTCCAATAGCACCTGAAAGCTTAGGGAAGCAAACTGTCTATGCATTTCTTGCGGGAGAAAACAAGTTCGTTGATGCGTTCCCAGGCAATCTGTTTGAGAAGTGTGGAGGGTTGGATGCTTTGATTGTTAATATTAGCAACAACAAGTTATCTGGTCAGATTCCCGCAGAAATTGGAAAAATGTGCAGATCTCTTCAGTTCTTGGATGCATCTCAGAATCAGATTTCGGGGCCTATTCCCTCTAGTGTTGGAGACTTTGTGTCTCTTGTTTCCCTTAACTTGAGTTGGAACTTGTTGCAAGGTGAGATACCAACCAGTCTTGGCCAGATAAAGGAGATGATGAAGTATCTTTCATTGGCTGGTAATAACCTTACCAGCTTGATTCCTTCGAGTCTGGGGCAACTACTCTCTTTAGAAGTGCTGGATCTTTCTTCAAACTCTCTCGATGGTGAGATTCCAAAAGATCTTGTGAACTTGAAAAACCTAACTGTTCTTCTGCTCGATAAGAATAATCTCTCTGGCCAGATTCCCTCAGGGTTGGCAAATGTCACCACTCTCTCGACATTTAATGTTTCCTTCAATAACTTGTCTGGGTCACTGCCATCAAATAGTAACTTGATGAAATGCAATAGTGCTCTCGGGAACCCATTCATTCGGTCATGCCGAATGTATACCCTTACAGAATCATCTACAGAATCTCAGGGAAGAGGTGGCGACTCTCAACAATATGCTGCTTCACCATCCGACGTTCCATCTCAAGGCAGTGGAAACAGTGGCCTCAATTCGATTGAGATTGCATCTGTAACTTCTGCATCAGCCATAGTTTCAGTCCTTATAGCATTAGTCGTCTTATTTATCTATACCCGCAAGTGGAATTCGAAGTCTAAAGTTGGTGGGTCTACCAGGAAAGAAGTAACAGTTTTTACGGACATTGGTGTTCCTTTGACCTTTGATTGTGTTGTTCGGGCCACAGGAAATTTTAACGCAAGCAACTGTATTGGGAATGGAGGTTTTGGTGCGACCTACAAAGCGGAGATGTCCCCTGGCATTTTGGTGGCAATAAAACGTCTTGCAGTTGGAAGGTTCCAAGGAATTCAACAGTTCCACGCAGAAATTAAAACCCTTGGAAGGCTGCGCCACCCCAATCTCGTCACTTTGATTGGCTACCACGCAAGTGAAACAGAGATGTTTCTTATATATAATTATTTACCGGGCGGTAACTTGGAAAAGTTCATCCAGGAAAGATCCACCAGAGCTGTTGATTGGAGGATACTTCACAAGATTGCTTTGGACATTGCGCGTGCACTCGCCTACCTACATGATCAATGCGTGCCAAGAGTCCTACACCGTGATGTCAAGCCAAGCAATATTTTGTTGGATGATGATTTCAATGCTTATCTCTCCGACTTTGGTTTGGCGAGGCTTCTGGGCACTTCAGAAACCCATGCTACTACTGGTGTGGCTGGAACTTTTGGGTACGTTGCACCGGAATATGCAATGACTTGCCGGGTGTCGGACAAGGCCGATGTGTACAGTTATGGTGTTGTACTTTTAGAGTTGCTCTCAGACAAGAAAGCTCTTGACCCCTCTTTCTCTTCGTATGGCAATGGCTTCAACATTGTACAGTGGTCTTGTATGCTCCTCCGGCAGGGCCGTGCAAAGGAGTTCTTTACATCAGGGCTATGGGATGCAGGTCCACATGATGATTTGGTTGAAGTTTTACACTTGGCAGTTGTCTGTACGGTTGATTCTCTCTCTACCAGGCCTACAATGAGGCAAGTTGTACGGCGGCTAAAGCAACTCCAACCGCCGTCATGTTAGCCTTCCGAAATGGCCTTTTTCTCTGATTAACATAGTAATTTGTAGAAGATGATTAAGCGTCAATTGTAATATTGTGCGTTTTTGCACTCTTGTCCTCTTTAGGTTCAGTTCTGAAATTTGTAGTTATTCCACTTGTACATTGTAATATAGAATGCTCCCAATTTTTTGGATGTCGTTTCCCGGGATTAGAGGGGGCTCTCTGCCTGATGAATCTGCTGAAGAGTGCAGATATTTGTTTTCCCAGTCGTATACGTGTATATCCAGTTTTATTTGTTGTTAAATAAAACCGTAGAAGTAGACATTTTTCTCTTTCTTGAAAGAGTGGGATTGAGAATTCTTGGTGGCCCACCAAAACCTATCTTCCTATAATGGGACTGATTGGGCTGGAGCTGAAGGAGAAAAAACAAGAGAAAATTACTTATCTGGATTTTTACTCGTTCTATTTATATAATTATTTAACTAAAAAAGATTTTAATTAAGTGTAAATGGTTAAAATTTAGATTCATGTACTCTAGAGAATATTTATCTCTTTTCTTAAAAGAACACAATTGCACTTCCACTTCCATGAACTTTGTCGACTTAAAATTTCCAATTATTGCCTTCAAAGTTTTGAAATTAGGAGCAAAAAAACTTGTTTTACAACAAAAAGAATCCAACTTACCGGTTACGCAAACCCAAGAACATTCCTCATAATTTCCAAGGTATCCTGTTCCATACTCTTTTCTGGTTATTAGTCAAACAAAGTAGACTACTATTTTTTTTTAAAATAATTTTAAGCAAATCGTGTTTATTTTTGCTTGCAGATAAAAATGAGATCTTTAGTGTCATTTTGTTTCTATCGCCATTGTTTGTAGAAAATTTGAATGTTCCGGGCATTGACCAAGCTAGAAATATTTGTCAGTGGGAGCTAATAACTAAAACAAAAATTTAATAAGACTATAAAGATTAATTTTTATAAATAATGCAATACATATTTGGGTACATGAGATTTTTAAAAATAAAAAATTTGAGTCGGAGATTGACTATTAGCTGCCTCAGTCAATGATTTCAGTACACACCAATAGAACGGAAAAGCCTAACCTTTGTTACTCAAGAATAGTCCCAGTTTCAAACGAACCAATATGGATCCAATACTGTACAATCTATTGGCCGGACAAGGCAAAAAAAATCTGATTGTTATTTCTACTAAAATATGAATTTCTAATTGTAATCCTTCCTTTTTTTCCTTCCTTTCTAACACCAACCAGGATAATGGATAATAATAATCCTTACTATTGTTAGAAACAATTTTCACAATCCTCCCTTCACACTTCTCTTCATTCGTACTTTATCCATCCTTTCACCTCTCTATATCTCCCATCAAAGGCACTTGATAATATTAATTCCATCTGAATCAATGCATCTTCGACCCTCCAAAACTCTTGAGATTCTAACAAAATCAAACTTTAGTTGTCTCACTTCTCTCAATTCTCAACCATGACATCAATGACTGAAGTAGTTTGATCGTGCTGTTAGAATATTTGTTGTGAATTGTGCTTTTAGCAAAATATAATGTGAGAGATAAAATAAGTGTTTTGGCAATTTTTTTGTAAAAAGATGTTGAAAAATAATGAGCATAGAAATGTTTCACTTTTATTTTGTAAAGATTATTTATGTGTATTTTTAATTTTTCTTATAAATATAATCTTAATTTTATTGCTTCTAATATCTTTTTCGTTTCTTTTTTTTCTATTTTTTTTTTGGGTATGAAAGCATGGAAATGAATTGATTCAAAGAATTCTCCTTGGATTACACTAAGTTTCTTTTATTTTATAAACTTATGTTGCCCTATCAAGTTCTCTCTTTAATTCAATTAGATATAAGTATGTCTATTTAAGAATATAAATTTAGAATTACAATTTCTGAGTAAAGAATATTTTAAAAAACATAAAGGATGACAGTATATATTGTGAAAATAACATTGCAGCGTTTACAGTTGAGCAAAAGCAAAATCTAGCAAACATCCTACTTAGTACAGTTCAGTTGGCTTCAAAGTGAACTACCTCATTCATCATGGCAAATGCAAAGAAAAAACAAAAACAAAACCCAAATAAATGAATTGAAAAAAAAAATACAACAATTGAAAAAAAAAAAAAATCAATTAAAAAAAGGAAGGGCTTACCTTGTATTTACTGTAATCAAATCGATCCTCCAACGAGAGCCTTCATGCAAAATAAAAAACGACTAAATACAAGTGCCCAGTTCCAAAGAACAAAAACTAAATGAAAGAGAAGAACTCATGAAATCAATCCCTTTTCTTGACATTCTGTCGAGGATTGTCACTAAAACTAGTACTAAAAAAAGGAAGCAGGATTAACAACTATATGCTTGAGCGGGTGTGCGACATCACCCCCACCGGCATGTTTAACAAACTCGGCCGGAGACAGAAAGCTGCCGTGACACACACACACAATTCTCACTTCCTCACCCTTCCTATACCTGTAAAGAAAACCCTCTATTCTTTTCCCATTCGGGCCAATTCCTGTCGTAGACACACACGGCATGTCCTCCAACATGTTCCTTGCTACTTCTTTGGTTCCGTTCTTGGTGAATGTAGGCTTATTCGATTGACTTTCTGTTGCCAATGCATTGAAATCGCCTGATGTCAGTCTGGTTATTGTACTGCGGTGAGTGACCGTGAGTTTTTGCTCGCTCTGTTGCAAGGACTGAACGCCGGTCGGGCTTCTTATTTCGGGGCATTTGGGCACTCTTGCATAACCTGGTTTCAGTGTCACCGCGTAAGAATCTCAAGGAAATGAATGACAAAAGGAAAATGAAACAGACAAAAGTGTAACGATAGCACAAACACGATGCAATGTTTTTGATGTTCAAGTGGATTTGTGTTGAGAAAATTTGTAAACTATCCAAAACAGAAGCCTTATCACATGTACCCTTTGAAATTAAATGATTTATTATGTGTTAAGGACTTGAGTTAGTAATTGAGGCATTGTAACATATCAAGCTTGTCCTATCCAAGGATAACGGCATAATTGCGGCTACTAAATTACCCCAAAAATGAAAACAGCATTCTCTAAGCCGCTCTCTTACAAAGATTCTTAACAACAATCTCCTTAGTTCTTCTAGTGTTTGGGGTTCATTTTGATTCTTCATTCGACACCAAAGGCACTCAGAGAAAATGAGTCATATCTTCAAACATTTTTTTTTTTTTAAAGTAAGTTCTACTTCTCCCTTCGGTTTAATGTATTATCCTATAGCATAACATGTTAGATTCCAAGTCCGAGCAATTTGGTTAAGGAATTTATGCCAATAAAACTTTTTAAAAAAAATGAAGAAAAACAAACTTTCAAAAGTAAAGAATCTTAAGCACATACACCCCAACACCTCATAGATAAGAGGGAGGGGGGAATCAGAATAAGAGTATATCAAAGCATAACAAAGATGAACGAAGACAAGAGATGATCGCGCTTCTCAAAGTACAAAAAGGCCTTTAAGTTAAAACCTTTCAACGTCATAAATATCAGAAATAACCAAAACATATAAAATACTAACAAGTCTTTTAACACACAAATGATAAAAGAGTTACTGAAAAGGAAAAAAAAAGATATCAATTTGAAGAAATAAGACTATAAAACCTTGAGAGGCCCGACAATCGGATTCAGAAACCCCAGAAGAACCACTTCCGTGAGACCCAATTGAGCCCTGAAACGACGCCGCTTGGGGTGGCAAGCCATTATCTTTATCGCCACCATTATTATTGGATTCAAGCTCAGCTCGACAAGACGTTCGTACGGCCTTGGAAATGGAATTCCTCTGCTTCTCCGACCTCTTCCTCTTGGCCTCCATCCTCCTCAGGCTCTGCAACTCCTTCCTCTTCCGCCACTCCTCCTCCGTCTCCGTCGGGAGCGAGCATGTCCTCGCCAGCCCCACGTGACACCTCGCCGCCGTCGTCACGTGACATCCCGACTCGCCTTGGCTTGTGGCGAAGTCCGGTATTGAAGACGAACGTTTTAGCGATAACTTGTTCCCGTTTTTGGCTCTTGCCGGGTCCACCCCAAATCGGCCGTTCAACGACAGCCCCAGGCTTAGCTCAATCTCTTCCTCGTCTGCTTCTTCTTTTTTGAGTTTCTCCGAGAAATGGGTTCTGGAGACCAGTTTCTGTAACAGATCTGCCGAGAAATTGCTCATCTGGATTGAGACAAACTCTTGGTTTGCTCTGTTTACGCCTTCTTCTTCTTCTGCTTGCGACATTGAAAAATTACCAGATTCGAAATTCAGATTTGCCCAGATGAAAAAACCTTTGCTCGTAAAGTGAGCAAGTCACAGAAACCAGAGAATTCCAAAACCCAACAGACAATAACTCATCTTATTATTCATCTTTCAGCGCCAAAACAGAGCACCAAAAAAATCCTACATTTTCTCGCGCTTTCTCTGCAGGAAGTTCCCGGCGAAACAAAAGGAAACATTATCCATTAAACCAGAACGAAAATAGAGAATGGACATGGAAAGAGAAAAAAGAAAAGAAAGAAAAAAGAAGCACTATGCGAAATCGAGAGAATATAACGAGAAGCGGCATTGAAAAGAAAGGAAAAGAAAAGGGAACGGAAATATTTCGTTGGCTGATGAAATTACGGAAAAGCCCTTGCTATTTGTCACAGCAACCCGTAGAGAAAGACACGTGGCAAACCTAAGAGCTTCCGTATACCCACGTGGCGAATATAAAGAAAGAAAACCAGATCTCGAGGAAACGACCAAACAAGTGTCGTCATGCCTTTCGATTTAATGATGCGAAAGCCCCAAAGGCCAAAGCCAGTTCATCGGATTAGGTTACGATAACACGTGTCGTCCCATCAATGTGGAACTCTAAGGAACTGCCACGTGTTGCGTAAAAGGTGGGCCTCGTAAAGAGGCGACTATGTTTCTCTTTCTCTCTCTCTCCTGTTGTTGGAGAGAAGCTGGATTCTCCGGGGCTGGACGCAGAGATGGAGTGGCGTCTCGACACGTGGCGAAGCTTTGGGATTTGTGTCAGCCTTTCCAATGGTCCTTTCTCTATTCAATTGAGACGCGTAGGTTTCGCGCTGTGACTCGCGAGAGTGGGTGTTAATATAGTACTCGCTAGTAGGACTTGACAGGTATCAAAAGGAGCATATCGGTAATTTCAAAAATTAGTGGTTTTTGACTAGAAAATTAGGAAAATGACTAAAGGTGGGTGAGAAAATTACGTTTGGTTTTTCTCTGTGGTGCCCTATTGATCCAGCTATAAGACATCAAATAATTTGATATATTTTATGAAATACTTTAATAAATGGTAATTTTGAATGGTTAAATATGGAGGATTCAAAGTACCTATTCAATTTTGTGTCCATCTAATTAATTAAATTGTATCATATTATTTAAAAATTTAAAAATATCTTTTAATTAACTTTTTGTTGTATTAAGATTTACATTTATTAAAAGACGAGTTATAATTTAAACGATTAGACATCTGAGATACTCAAAATTAGATAAATAAATTGAGTCAAAATATGCATATCCTTTTTGTGTTATTCTTATTCGATCTAAACATTATCAATAGTGTTTGCAGAAAAAATAAAATAAATAAAAAAAAAACATTATCAATAGTGTACTTTTTATCCTCCATCAAATAAAAATTCTCATATTTTAAAAATGCATCATGGATGTCGATAGCTAATTTTAGTCCCTTTATCCTTATTAGTACTTGTTTTTTGTATTTGTACTTTCAAACAATCTGATGCTGAAATTTTCAGAAGAAATAACAAATAAATCCATCAACTAGCAAATAAAAAACGTCTAATATAGGTGTCCTCGTATTCGATATTATATTTTAAGTAACTTCTAATAACAAAAAGAGGACAATCCCCACATCATAACATGTATGTATTTATAAGTCATTTCTCATTGATGTAAAGTAAGATATCAACTTATTCATGTGATTGCGCTGAAGCTCGAGTATGATATAATATAAGAAAGCTTAATCCTACGGAAAACAAATAGTGGGTATACTGATATTGGCCTTAAAATCTTCTTATATTATTATTAATGACCAATGGCAAAACAAAACTACAATCAAAACGTTTAAAAAAGAAAGAAAAAAAAAAGCCCGTTTTGTACGTCATCAAAGAATAAATTATCAAAAATCTTTGTTTTCAATTGTTATATTTGTATTAAAAATCTATATAATTTTGTATATTTTCACAACTTAAGTCACAATTTAAATTTTATTATTATAATATTTTTTTATAAGAATTTAGCCCGTTTTGTACGTCATCAAAGAATAAATTATCAAAAATCTTTGTTTTCAATGGTTATATTTGTATTAAAAATCTATATAATTTTGTATATTTTCACGACTCAAGTCACAATTTAAATTTTATTATTATAATATTTTTTTATAAGAATTTAAATTCAATATAGTATTTTTTTTAAATACATAATTTAAGTCATAAAATATATATTTTAATATAATGTGATTTTAATAAAATTTAACGATACCTTAAAAAAAAAAAAAAAAAAAAACACTAATAAAAAGGGGAAAAAAAAAATGGAACTAGCCAACTAGGAAAACAACCCATTAGCAAAAATTAGGAAACTAGACAAGACAACGGAAGACGAGCAAAGGGGAAAATCGGGCAACGGGATTCCAACTCCAAGTGGGACAAGTTGCACTATTTTATTGTGAAAAAACTGCTTTTTGCCAGAGTTTTAGTGATCTGGTTTTACGCCACGTATAAGGTGGTACACAAATGAGTACGTGTCGCAACATGATTGCGAAAGAGACAGCGGAGCAGTCAATCAGATTGCAATTTGCAAGGGCTGAGGTGTCGCGGAAGAAGATATTATTAGAAGATTTGCAATTTGCGTCGAGATAGAGGGCCACTGACTCAAGAAAATGATGGTGTCGTACGCACGCGCCATGTCAGAGAATATTATTTATTTGACTATTAAATTAAGCTGCTTATGTCTGATTTGATAGAATATTGAAAGGGGGAGGAGAAATTCCCTTTGAAGAATTGAAAAGACAATCGAGGTCTTTCATATCATTCATGGAGAGGAAACTCTAGAAACGAAAAGGAGTTGTTAATTCATCAATTGCCGTAGGAAAAAGATATTTTTCTCGATGGGATAAAATTCCATACTCATCAAATTCTATAAATTCTAAATTCGAATCACTAAATTCGAATCAACGAAGTGAACGGGATCTCAGACCTCTCACTTCACAGATTCGAGTTTTTAATTTGAGTTGAGATGTGATATTTTTTTAGAGTTTTTCACTGTAATAAAAAAAGTTAAATATGACATTTTTTGAGAATTTTTTACTGTAAAAACTTAAAACTGAAAACTCAAATCGGTAAAATGAACGAGACCTCATTATATTAGATTTCACTTGTTTTTGTGAGTAACATAATCTTAACCCTATTAAAATTAATAAGGGTTCTTCATCAAATGTATTATTTTTTAATTTATTCTATACTCACAAAGTTATTCTATACGCATAAAATGGTTGATTCATTAGATTAAATTTAATTTATTTTTGTAAGTAGCGAAATTTTAACCCTATCAAAATAAGTAGGACTGTTTTTCATTAAATGTGTTGTTTTTTAATTCATTTAAAGAACTTTTATAGTATGATCTTATCTTTTTAATTACGGGTGGTTATTTATTAGTAAATTTCTCTGGTGTTTTTTTTAAGAACACTAAGGGTGCGTTTGGAATTGATTCCAAAACGTTTTTATTTTCTGTACGAAAATGAAAATGAAAACGTTTTTAGTTTCATTTTTGAATTATTTCTAAAAATGCGTTTGATAGTTTTATTTAGAGATTGATTTCAGTTTTAAAAAAAACTGAAACTGTGTTTGGTGGTTTAATTTTTGAAAACATGTAATAATATATTAAATAATAAATATTATTAAATATATTAAATAAATAATATATTAAATATATTAAATA